CCTGCAGGTGCTGGAGCCGACGGTGCGGCTGGAGCTGGTGCTACTGAGGGTGCTGGAGTTGGCACTACTGGAGCTGCAGGTGGTGCTACGGGAGTTGGAGCTGCTGCTGGGGGTTCTGGTGCTGTCTCTGCTGGTTCTGCAGGCGCTTCACGACCGCGGCCGTACTTCATTCCGCTCCTTCAGCAGGTTCTTGATCAGCCTCCTCCTCCTTGTCCAGCTCCCTCCTTAGAGTGTCCTCTGCCTGTCCAGGATCAGGCACAGTTACAGCCTGCCTCGCCACTTCCTAGTCCTTCTCCCTACACTGGTCCGACAGGAGGTCTTACGGAGCGTCGTGAGCCTGAGTCTCGTCCTGTGTCACCTGAGTCTCGTTCTGCATCACCTGTTTGTACTGCTCGCACTGGTCATCGTGTCCCGCGTCAGCGTCCTCCTGCTGTCCCAAGCACTCACCAGATGACGCTTCGTCTTTCCACTGCTCCACATCGTGTCTCTCTGCCTTCTCCTCCTGCGTCCTCTCTTCCTGCCCTTGCTGACCCGGAGTCTGACTCTCTTCGTGCTGCTAGTCCTACTGTCACGCATCTCCTGGCCACTGCTGTCACTGACCCTTCCTTTGAGTCAGCTGCTGCGTCTGCCTTAGTTGCTGAGCTTGTCGACTTCGCTGCTCACTGTCGTCTAGACTACGCTGCCAGTCTTGTTGCTGAGTCTGAGTCTGTCTGTCCTCCGTCCGTCGGGGGTGAGTGTGCTCTTAGCACGGACGTCCTTGAGGACACGCAGGAGGAGTTTGAGTGCTTTCCCGCTGCTGTACCTCATCTCGTGTCCATGCTGATTGCACCTGAGGGAGACCCGGATGCACCAGACATCCCGACCCCGCGCTCTTACGCTAAGGCGATCGCGGGTGAGTACTCCTCTCAGTGGCAGTCAGCCATGGACGTAGAGATGGCATCCTGGAAGTCCACTGGCACTTACGTCGACGAGGTTCCCCCTCCTGGGGCGAACATCGTCAGTGGCATGCGGATTTTCAGGGTGAAGCGGCCGCCAGGTTCTCCGCCTGTCTTCAAGGCTCGTTACGTTGCTCGAGGCTTCAGTCAGCGAGAGGGAGTACACTTCTTCCAGACCTTCTCCCCCACCCCGAAGATGACCACTCTTCGGGTGCTACTGCACATTGCCGCTCAGCGTGACTACGAGCTTCACTCTCTTGACTTCAACACAGCTTTCTTACAGGGCAGCCTGCACGAGGAGATCTGGCTGCGCCGCCCTCCTGGCTTCACTGGGTCGTTCCCTCCTGGTACCCAGTGGAGCCTCCGACGGCCGGTCTACGGTCTCCGCCAGGCGCCACGTGAGTGGCACGACACACTGAGGACTACACTTGCGGCTCTTGGGTTCGCGCCTTCTATTGCTGACCCGTCGCTGTTTCTGCGCACCGACACTTCGCTGCCGCCGTTCTACATCCTCGTGTACGTCGACGACTTGGTCTTTGCCACTGCTGACACTGAGGCTCTCGCCCTGGTGAAGTCGGAGCTGCAGAAGAGACACACATGCATAGACCTGGGTGAACTGCGCAGCTACCTTGGCTTGCAGATCACCCGGGACAGAGCACGCCGCACCATCACACTGTCTCAGTCACACATGGTGCAGCAGGTCCTTCAGCGCTTCGGCTTCACCTGGTCCTCGGCACAGGCCACTCCTCTGGCTACAGGTCACTCGCTCTCAGCTCCACCTTCGGACGAGTCCGTAGAGCCGAGTGGTCCTTACCCAGAGCTAGTTGGCTGCCTCATGTACCTAATGACTTGCACTCGTCCTGACCTCGCGTACCCTCTTGGCCTTCTGGCTCGCTACGTGGCTCCTGGTCGGCACCGAAAGGTGCACATGGATGCTGCTAAGAGGGTACTGCGCTACTTGTGCAGTACATCAGGCATGGGGCTCGTGCTTGGAGGGAGGAGCTCAGTTGTTCTCACTGGGCACTCAGACCCTTCTTGGGTTGACGACCAGGCTACTTAGCGGTCGTCACAGGGTTACACCTTCAGCCTTGGCTCTGGTTCAGTTTCTTGGCGTTCTACACGCTCGTCTTCAATTCTCAGCTCCAGTTGTGAGGCTGAGATCTACGCCACAGCCATGGCTGCACAGGAGTTACGCTGGCTCACCTACCTGCTGACTGACTTGGGAGAGCGGCCTCGTTCTCCTCCAGTGCTGTACGTCAATAACAAGGCTACCATTGCCTTGTTTGAGGAGCACAGACTGGAGCACAGAACGAAGCACATCGCTCTGCGTTACTTCCTGGCTCGAGAGTTGCAGCAGCGTGGTCAGCTTCGTCTGTGTTACGTGGCCACTCGGGCCAACACTGCTGATATATTCACCAAGGCACTTCAGTCTGGTGATCATCAGCGTTTCTGCACTATGCTAGGGCTTGTGCCCACTTTTCCTCACATGCTGTAGGCTTTGCTTGTACTGTGATCTATATATATACCTGCATGCTTGCTTTGCTAGGTAGAGATCACTGTGCTGTTTGTGTTGCATATATGCCTCTGCATGTGAACTGGCCTTGTGGCCCTTTGCTTGTGCTCGGAGTGTGTGGTGATGTTGTGATCCACCCTGAGCTTGCTTTGCCTTTCTTGACTGGTCTTGTGACCCCTTGCTCTCCCCCACTTTGCCTATGGGGGTGTATCAAATGTTATACCTGCTACATTTTGTTTAGGCTGTAGTGGGGTAGTTACTATGGGGTACAGTAAGTTTAGGGTTTCCTACTTGTACCCAACTCTTTCCTAGTTCAATCACTCTTGTTGATTCTAACAAACTGATCCGCCCATCCACCTCTCCCTATGGTGCACCAGTCCTCTTCACTCCAAAACCAGACGGCAGTTTACGGATGTGCATCGACTACCGCGCACTGAACAAACAGACAGTTAAAAACAAATTCCCCATACCGCGCATAGACGACCTATTGGATCAACTGCGTGGACGAGTGCGTAGTAGTGTACCGGGACGATATCCTCATCTACTCCAAGAATATGAAGGAGCACGTGGAGCATCTGCGAAAGGTGCTCGAGATCCTGCGGAAAAACAAGTTCTACGTGAAGCTGTCGAAGAGCGACTTTGCCCTGAAGAAGGTGCAGTTTCTCGGGCACATGGTAAGTGCCGAGGGCGTACACGTGGACCCGCGGAAGATCGAAGCCGTCAAGAAGTGAAAAGTTCCGAAGAACGTGAAGGAGTTGCAGCAGTTCCTAGGCTTCGCCAACTACTACAACAGGTTTGTGCCGCAGTATGCTAATATAGCGGCGCCACTGACCGACCTACTGAAAAAGGATACGCCCTACAAATGGGATACTCCTCACCAGCAAGCCATGGAGCAGCTATAGACAGCACTGACCACAGCCCCAGTACTCATCGTACCGGATCGAGACAAGGACTACGTGGTGGAAGCAGACGCTAGTGACCAAGCAGTCGGAGCAGTACTGATGCAGGATCACGGACGCGGTTTGCAGCCCATCGCCTACTTCAGTAAAAAGATACACGGACCAGAACTGAACTACCCCATCCATGACAAGGAAGCCTTAGCGATAGTCATAGCCTTCAAGGCGTGGAGGTGTTACCTAGAGGGAGCCAAGACTACAGTCTATACTGACCACTGCAGTGTCAAATACCTGAAGTCGCAGCCGACGCTCTCACGACGACAGGTGCGGCGGGTGGACTTCCTGGAAACTCACTTCCACTACGACATCGTCTACAAGCCCGGGCTACACAACAAGGCAGACGCATTGAGCCGCTTTGGTCATGTAGCAGGCATCCAGCTCGACGGGATGAACCCTCTGCTCAAGGGTCTATTCCAACACGGGTACTCCGTGGACGCAGAGATCGCTACAGCACAGACTAAGAAGCTGTTACAGTGGGAGAAAGACTTAGGAGTAAGGAAGGGTTCAGGAAAGATTTGTTTACCAAATTACGCCCCGCTACGGCAGATCCTATTGGAGGAGTTTCACGACGTACCTTACGCGGGACATTTGGGGGCAACAAGACGTTAGCAGGGATAGCGAAGTATTACTACTGGCCCGGGATGGCAGCAGACGTGCAGCAGTTCGTCACCCCTTGCGACACGTGCCAGCGGATGAAGAGTAGCAAGCAGAATAAAGCAGGGTTACTTCAGCCTCTACATGTACCGGAGCAGCCATGGCAGGTCGTTAGCCTTGACTTCATCACAGGACTTCCTTCGACCTCACTACAAGGATCCCAACCTAGGCATGAGCAGGGTGCCCCGGCGGGTCGGGTCGACCCGACCCGACCCGGGTTTTGACCCGGGTCGGGTCAGGTGTTCTGAACCGCTGACCCGGCCGAGTCGGGTCGGGTTTACCCGGGCGGGTCGGGTCGACTCGACACCCGATATCGGGTCGGGTCGGGTCGGGTTTTGACCCGACTAGTGACTCGACTCGGTTTCGGGTACCGCGCCCTATGTCGGGTCGGGTATCTGGCCCGACCCGAGGGTTTCCTCCCGACACTCTTAGCCAGATCGAAATCGCGATTGTTTTGTTTTCCCGCGACAAGCATTTCGATCTGGTTTAAGCTTAGTTACCTAGCTAGTGACGCCAGCAGCCACCCACCAAGCAACAAAAGCGTTCTAATCTACTCTATAACGTACTATAATGTTTAGTTAGTACTCAGCCTATCGTTATTAATAAGTTATTCGCACATTGCGCCATACATTCTGTGTTTTTTTTTTTTTTTATCCGAAATTAACAGGTCAAGCTCTGTCCTTAGGCGCGCGCATTGCAGGCCCGTGTTTTAGGGCATCTCGCATGCGTGCCGTGCATGCGCAGGTCGCTAGAGCCGCGACCCAGCTGACTGCTTTGGGAAACGTCATACGCCTTCGTTCCGCGTACAATCCGCGTTAGGGTGTTGAACGGAGGCGAGAATGGAAGGAGGGGAGGATAGCAGTCGCGCGATCCCAGGGGCGTCGCTTGGAGGCCTCGCGACACCGGAATCAAGGGCCACTTTCCAATTGGGGAGCTTCTTCCATGGGGATGAGGATATTAGTTGGGACGCCGCAACCGCGGCAAGGAGGCGTGAGGAGGTGCAGCAGTGGGGGTCCCAGGCTGCTCCCGAATTGGGTCCCCCCACCGCGAGGCAGCGGTGCAACAGGAAAGAGGCCACGTACGAGTGGGCGTGAGGGGTCGGGAGCGGGAGGGGTCGGGCCAGCGTCGAGTGGAGGTGATGGGTTGAGCGCAGATGGGGCAGGTATCTCCGCCGCGGCGGCAGGTGGGGCTGGTCACTCCGTGGCGGCGGCAGGTGGGGCAGGTACCTCCGTGGCGGCGGCAGATGGGGCAGGTACCTCCGCCGCGGCGGCAGGTGGGGCAGGTACCTCCGCCGCTGCACCTGTACGTGGGTCAGGGATGGCTGGAGGTGCTGCTGTGAATGCAAGCCAGCGCTCAGACAGGGTGGGCAGGACCCCTTCCGATGAGGAGTTGGACCCATGGACTGAGGAGGTGCTCAGTAATGCAGAGGCCGGGCTGGTGCGTGGCATGTTTGGTGAGAAGGTGAATTATGCTAGGCCTTGCAAGGTGTGCCGGACCAAGATTAGCTGGAAAGAGAGTAGCACTAGCGCGGGGAAGAGACACCTCAAGAGGAGCCACTACACCAGTCTGCAGATCTGGTGTCGACGTTTCAAGGATCTGAACAAGCCGGACAACCTCACGTTTCCCGATGGGGGATGGGGTCCAGAGGTTCCCGACAACACAGCGTGGCCTTGGGAGCATGCAGCCACGTGGCCCAGGATTAGTTCGACACCCGAGGGTACCCCCGCCAGTGCGGTGACTGGAGACGCCGCGGCTGGTGGGGATAGGCAGATGAACATGGGCGCATTCGCCGTGCCGCGTGTTCATGGACAACAGCTGCGAGAGGGGTTGGTGCAGCTATTTGCGGCAGCCGACCTTCCGTTTCGACTGGTTGAGTGTCGCGAGGTGAGTGACGCCGTACTCTTGTCTTTGTTCATCCTGGGGCTCCTCATCCCATCCCACCATCTCTGCTCGTCATCCCATCCCACCATCTCTGCTCCTAATCCCATGCCACCATCTCTGCTCCTTATCCCATCCCACCATCTCTGCTCGTCATCCCATCCCACCATCTCTGCTCTTCATCCCATCCCACCATCTCTGCTCCTCATCCCATCCCACCATCTCTGCTCCTCATCCCATCCCACCATCTCTGCTCCTTTTACCGACATCCACACCACCATTCCTGCGTTTCTATTTGCATCTACAGTTCAGAGCATTTGTCCAGATGCTAAACCCGGGAGCTGCGCTACTGCTCGGCTCACGCCATCGCTTGGCACGGGACATGCAGGCATACGGGGAGGCTGCTAGGGAGGACATGCGGCAGCTATTGGTGGGTGATGGCCTGGCAGGAAGGATGTCTCTCACCTTTGACATCTGGACCGGCGAGAACAACGTGGCCTTCGTGGCGGTGACCTGCCACTATGTCACCAGCGATTTCCAGCTGAAGCAGGCTGTTATAGACTTCAGGGAGCTTAAGGGCTCTCATACGGGGGACTTGATAGCCGATGAGCTGGAGGAGGTGTTGAGGGAGTGGGGCTTGGAGAAGATGCTGTTCGCCGTGACGTGTGACAACGCCGAGAACAACAGCAGGGCGATGCGTCTGCTGGCCGGTGTACCTTACGCCAGGCCGGGCTCGCGGCCCAGGCACCCACCACTGCTCAGTCGCTGGAGGCACTTCGGGTACTATGGGGCCGTGTCTGTACGGGTATGCTATATACTGTTGGAGTTGCAGACCATGGTTGTTATGGCAGTGCTTATGTGAAGCGTTGCCACTAAACCCACGCTGAACAATGCATTGCCCCAACAGGTGCGTGGCGCACGTCGTCAACCTTGCAGTGCAGGCTGCACTGAAGGTTGACGAGGTGGCCGAGCCACTCAAGAGGCTGCGGGATGTGGCGAACTACATCGGCTGGTCCACGCTGCGCACAGATCGTTTCTTCGAGCTCCAGAAGGGATACGCGGCGACCCGGCCCCAGGGTCCTCCGGGTTCGCGGCGAGCATCGGGTCCGTTGCGCTTGATCGTGGACTCGCCGACGAGATGGGGTTCTACACTCAACATGGTGAACAGGGGCTTCGAGCTGCGCATGCCCATTGCCATGTTTTTCGACGATTCTGAGGTACGTATTGTTTGATAAACATGGGCGTGTGACTATGTGGAATGGGGGTACGTGGGCATGGCTTGACTAGTGAAGCTTGTTGATATTTGGGTGGCCATGTGACTATAACGAAGTGCGCGCTAGCACATGGATACTTGGATGGTGCTCTATGTCTTGTGCAATGCCATACACTAAAGCCCTAAACCCTACCTCCATCTTTACAACCCATGTCTTGTCCCATCCCATCCCACCATCTCTGCTCCTCATCCCATGCCACCATCTTTGCTCCTCATCCCACGCCACCATCTCTGCTCCTCATCCCACGCCACCATCTCTACTCCTCATCCCACGCCACCATGCCTGCTCCTCATCCCACGCCACCATGTCTGCTCCTCATCCCACGCCACCATGTCTGCTCCTCATCCCATGCCACCCTCTCTGCTCCTCATCCCATCCCACCATCTCTGCTCCTGATCCCATGCCATGCCACCATCTCTGCTCCTCATCCCACGCCACCATCTCTGCTCCTCATCCCATGCCACCATCTCTGCTCCTCATCCCACGCCACCATGTCTGCTCCTCATCCCACGCCACCATGTCTGCTCCTTATCCCCCGCCACCATGTCTGCTCCTCATCCCATGCCACCCTCTCTGCTCCTCATCCCATCCCACCATCTCTGCTCCTCATCCCATGCCATGCCACCATCTCTGCTCCTCATCCCACGCCACCATCTCTGCTCCTCATCCCATGCCACCTAAACCCTACCTCCATCTTTACAACCCATGTGACCCATTCCAGCCATCCATCAGCAAGGAGACTCGAAAGGCGTGGGACGCCATCAGGTTGACGGATGCGCACTGGGACGACCTCGCCGAGCTCCGAGACTTCCTCACCCCATTCGAGCAAGTCACCCTCTTCGCCGAGGGTTCCCTGTACCATACCCTCTCGGCCGTTGTACCGCAGTACAACGCGCTGATTGATTTGTAGGAGAAGGCACAGCTCACTCCTGGCATCTCCCCTCTGCGCTCATCGCTGATTACTGCTGCTATGGGCAAGCTGGAGCGACACATGGGGGGTGTGAGCGAGGAGGCAGCGATAGCCACTTTCTTGGACCCGCGCCAGAAGGTCGCACCCTTCAAGCACCGAGCGAGGGCAGCGGAGGGGAATTTGAGAGGGGCAACACTGGAGCTAGGCCCTGATAGGGTGAAGGCCCTGGTACGGGCGCGCCTTCCAGAGTACCAGGCAGCCAGCACCACGGCACAGGGCGATGGTGGGGAGGTGACTAGTGCGAGGGGTGCAGGGGTGCATGCGTCGGCAGGGGGCGGGGCTGTGGATGCATCGGCAAATGTCAGCATCCAGTCTCAGTTGTTCACACCGTGGGACGCCATGGAGGCCGAAGAGGGGGAGGATCCACAGGATGAGGTGGATCAGTACCTCGCAGAGGGGAGGCAGAGGGGTGGAAGCGCATTGGAGTATTGGCGCAGCAGGGAGACCTTGAAGGGCTTGAGGGCAATGGCTCGCGATTATCTGGGGGTACCGGCTTCGTCAGCAGCGAGTGAACGCGCGTTCTCAAAAAGCAGGAACATCATTACTTGGCAGCGACACCGACTGGCAGCTGGCCAACTGCGTGCTTCCATGCTGATTAAGACGTGGCAGGACCACCACCCTTTGGGGACTCTCGCTCCCAAGGGCACCTCAACGGCAAATCCTACCCTGGGAGTGGAGGATGAATCGAGGGGGTTGTGATATTTGTTTGTGTTTGATGCTTATGCCCTAAACTACTTCAGATCACGAGCTCAGACCTAAACTTCATTGGTTCTTCTTCCCGTACCTCCAACTACTAGGTGACTCCGATAGCGTTTAGGGCGTTGTAGCATTTTTCCAAACACGTGATACAGTTTAAGCAACTTTGAATAGGTCATTTACAAAATGGAGGACGCTTATACATTAATATTACACAAATATTTAATTAATGCAACACTGCACAGTAGTAAACAGAACCTCTAACCCTGCATATGGGGGTCTGGCCCGACCCGACCCGACCCGGCCCCTACCCGACCCGACCCGGGGGCGGGTCACGCCTGACCCGGCACCCGATACCCGGGTCGGGCCAGGGTTCTCTGGAAGTCCCGACCCGACCCGACCCGACCCGGAACTCGGCTGGCCCGCCCAAGTCGGGTCGGGTCGGGTCGGGTCGGGTCGGGTCGGGTCGGGCCTCCTGATCATGCCTACCCCAACTTACTGTTCCAGGGACGGCAGCTATCGCCACCACCACCTGTACTCATACAGGATGAACCAAAATACAAGATTGAGCGCGTTTTCACTCATCGGCGCCGCGGCGGCAAAGCCCTCGAGTTCCTGATACGCTGGAAGAGATACGACCCCACTGAGGACAGTTGGGTTGCAGAAGATGATATGGGCAATGCACGCCGTGCTCTCAAGGACTATCTTGTTAAACAGGGTGTTTCTCACGCCACCCAGCTTTGAGGGGGGGACGTGTGAGAGTACGACGGCTTATGTTGGCGTTGCTAGCTTGCATAGACTTTACCGTCATACCCCGGTTAGAAGCGCAGGCCTCGGATAAGCGCCGGCGCTTATAAAAGGATGACGACGCTTTTATCCGGTCCTCGATTATAAGCGCACCCTTTAGACCCTTACGGATAATAAGCGCACCCCCTTAAACTGCACTACATATATGTACGTTTCAAATTCGATTAATTCTTATTTTTATTATTCGAAAGCATATCCTTATTTCTATTCTAAACTACATATTCTACTTCATCAGTAGCTACAAATTTTACAAGATCCTACCTAAACTACTTATTCTAACATTTAAAAATTCCACTCTCCTACACATCCTAGGCATCGCCCTCAACTGTGGCGGTGTCATCCTGGGCGGTCTCACCGTCAGACTCTGGCTCGTCTACGTTGTTGCAGCAGAATCCATCTGCTGCAATCTCGTCGTCAAGTTTCACTTCACCCTTGACGGCGTCCCGGCGTTGCTGCAGGCAGAGATTGTCCTAGGACCCGTCCAAGGCGTTGCTAATGCCACAGGTGAGAAAGGCACGCTCAATCAACTCTTTCGGCACCGCCTTCCAAGCCTTGGAGATCCACTTGAACGTTAGCTCAGGTAGTGGCTTGCGGATGTTGCCTGCCACACATGGAAAAATTACAGCAGTCAGAACAGGGTCGGAACAAGTAGAACCATCCCAACACGGGAATGAACGCTCGCCTCTTTCTGTCAGGCAGTCAACGCCCGCGCTCTCGAACCACTCCTGGTACAGTTGTCGCACAGCTGCTTTGAAGGAGCGGTTCACCGCGACATCCAAAAGCTGGATCTCCGACGTGCAGCCTGCTGGAATGATGGCGGGGACGATGTTCAGCTCCCTGAATTTCTCCTTCACATGGTCAGTCAGGTGCACGCGGTAGGAGTCCACGACCAGCATCGACTTCCTGCTGCGCACTCCAAACCGTGGGTTGACGTACGGGCGCACCGCTCCGTCGAGCCAAGCGAGGACGCCGTACGCATCCATCCATCCGTTGGGATGTGCGGCAACAACGACATCTGCACATCAGAACAACACGCACGTTAAAAAAGGCATCAGGTAATTAAACCCACATGCAAGCTAAACCGTGACTGCACAAGTTGCTCCGCTTACCGGAAGAGAAGTTCCCCTTGGGAACAGTCTTGCGTTTAAAAAACACCCAAGGCTTCAGCTTCTCGCCGCTGGCGGTGCAGGCGAGCATCACCGTCACGCGTTCTTTTTGATAGCCGCCGCTACGGATGGGCACGGAGCAGATTCCCACCTCCTCAACCGTGCGTTCAGCTGGCATCTCGAGCCACAGTGGCGTTTGATCCGCATTTATAATCCAGCGGGGGTCGATGTCGTACTGTCGGCGGGTGTGTCTCACGAACTTCCCAAAGTTCCGGACCTGCAACTCGCACTCTGAAAGGGACGGATGGGAGACACAGTCGAAAGAATCATATTATAAAAACAAGGAACATTAGCTACCACACAAAAAGTGTGCAGCATCCAAAAAAACAGACTCACCAGAGGACAGCTTCTGTCCGATACGGGTCTTCGCTCGGGTGGTGAGATTCCAGCGTCATCGAAAACGCTCAGTCCACCTCTGAGATCCAGTCCACTTTACCTCAGGATGCAGGGCCTTCATCACCTCTCGTGACCACTGCTGCAGCCGGCCGATCGACACGGCGAGGCACTTCTTCCGGGCGGCAAGAACACGTGAGTACACCTGGAGCTCCATGTCGCGGTACCACGACGAGCGCCCACGCCCGTGAAGGCGCTTGCGAGCCCAATGCGCGCCCTCGAGGTCCGCCTTCCGCGACTTCCACTCTGCCAGGGATTTTCGGGAGATACTAGTGTCGCGCGCCATCTTCCGCGCACTCACAGCTCCGGACTCCAGCTGTGCAATCCACTGCAGCTTCTCTTGTGAAGTGTAGGAGTTCTGCTTGTGCTTCGAAGGACTGCTCCGGGGAGACGGGGGGCGGGCATCACGATTTGCTTTGGAGGGGTGGGGCCGTTAATTATTCGGAGGGGGAAAGCTTGGGACAGGCAAGTCCTCGGGAAAACCGTCGGCAGCCCACCACTCAACGTCGTCTTCGGCACCAGTGGCGGATTCGTCGTACGGGCAATCTTCAGGCTCTCCCCAGCGTGGCGACAGACCGGGGCGGGCTTTATCGTCCTCGCTGCGCTAGGGCTCGGGCTCGGGCTCGGAGATGTACGCGTCGAAAGCAGAGTAGCCACGATGGAGTAGCTGCAGAACGGGCACACCGTTGATGACGACGTTCGGCGGAGCGGGAGGACTAGGAGGCGCTGGAGGAGCAGGAGGCGTAGGAGGAGCAGGAGGAGCAGGAGGCGCAGGAGGAGCAGGAGGTATGGGCGCTGGGCGACTCTGCCACTGAGAGTAATCGGGAGTTTTGGCAGCAGCACCTCGCCGGTTAAAGAGAAAATGGGTGCCTGGAAGGCCCGCCATGGCAGAGGCAGGCCGAGGGAAAACAAAAAAACTGAGAAGAACGATGAGAATGAGGCCTGTTTGAAACCCTCGCTCGAGACCCCTCCAACTTCGCGGCCCGAGTTCCTCTGCAGGGAAATGGGGGTAACTGTCAAGATCACTCCGCAGAGGAGCTGATGTGGTGAGGACCATGCCTTGGTGGCAAGGAATCTTGCCGCATTATACCCATTTTGTGGTATACTGCGTCGTGCCTGGCACGGCAGGCGACCCTGATTGGGCAGTCGCACACATTACAGCGTGTGCGCTGGCATGGGCCGGATTCATGTACGATGAATCTGGCCAGGCCAGCAAGGCGTGGCGGGCGTGATTCCACGCCTTGTTGGCCCATTGACGCGCAATTCATGCACGCGTTCGAACGTTCCAGATGTGGATTGAATCCTCTTTTGAAAAAGCTTCAATTACATGTAAAAAAAATACATTTCATTTTTGCCATTTTATAGACGCCGACGCTTATAAATTTCCTCAATTATAAGCGCACCCCCTAAAAATCAGTGTTTTATTACAACCCCAGGGGCGCTTCTATCCGGGATATGACGGTATTATGCTATATCTAGCTTGAGTTTTATTTTTCATGCATAGATATGCCTGACATCCTAAGCTATGTGCATTCCTATATGTTATTATAGTTATAACACCGAACCAGGTTACAAGTACCGAACTCAAGCCTTTTCGGTTCCCACCGAATTGCATTCTACTGAGTTCGGGAAGGTTCTGTTCGGGACGCTTCGTGACCCTCAGAACATTCGCGTAACACCTGGGTTACCTGCGTTGTGTCGAGCCTATATATAGCCTCGCCTTGTAGCCAGGTGAATCAATCAATTACATTTCTCTTTTCTAAGCTCGATCCTAGATCCTCACAACAGGGCTGCGGAAACGAATCCGCCCACTCACTCTCAGGCCACCTCTCCCTTCCTCTGAACCGAACACGTTCGAGGCGAACCGAACAGGTTTGTTTATTTTTGCTTAAAGTGTTCGCCAAACAGTGTTCGAGGTTCGCCCGAACACATTCGAGTTCGGGCCGCTGCTGCAATTTGCCCCGCGACGAACACGAACGTGTTCGAGGTTCGCCCGAACACGCCTTCAAAGGCGAACGGCGAACACCTGTTTTTGCTAAAAGTGTTCGCCGAACCGAACAGTGTTCGGTTCGGCAAACGGATGTGTTCGTGTAGGGGCGAACACGAACATGTTCGTGTTCACCCCTTGCTCATCTTTAGCCTGTGAATTGAAGAATCGCTAGTAAAACGACGTTCCTGCATCGTGATTTTCCATGAACAACAAGATATGATAGTAAACTAGCTATAGATGTCTATCAGTGAGGTTTGAACAGGTGGCAACTAAGTAGTTTCTAAGCTTAGGCGACTTGCTTGCTGCCGTTAGGCAAGATTGAGAGCGTGGGTAGGTTCTGATGTCGAGGGGATAAAAAAACCCTCGACAAGAATTTGACATAGGGTTTTGTCCCCAGTGTGTCGAAATTGGGTCGGGCCAAAAGCCCGACCCGACTTCCCTGGTCCTGACCCGAATTTGGGTCGGGTCAAGCCTGACCCGAAACCCGACCCGACTCGGCCCGAGTTCCATGCTCGGGTCAGGTTTTAGCTCGGGTCGAGTTTTAGCTCGGGTTAGAGATGAGCATTTGCCCCGCTCAGGTCGGGTCGGCCCGGGTCGGGTCACCGGTTTCAATTGCCTGCCCCGTGCGGGCCGACCCGACCCGACCCGACCCGGGCTAAAACCCGACCCGAGCATGAGACTCGGGCCGAGTCGGGTCGGGTTTCGGGTCAGCTTTGACCCGACCCGAAATCGGGTCAAGATTTGGGAAATCGGGTAGGGTCAGACCCGACCCGACCCGCTTTCGACACAAGGGGGACCCGAAACCCTAACACATTCTATTTCAAGGGTATTTTTTTCCTCTCGACATCAATTCATTACCGCAAACCTAATATCCTTCCTCCAGCGACCAAAGGCACCTAGGAACCATAACTACTTAGTTTGCAGCCAAAGAATGATGCGACAAGTTAGAAGACGACTTTGTGGAGAGGCTCAATGTCGAGAGACCTGTAAAGAGTGGGAGGGGGAGGGTTGGGAATGGTAGATTTGATGCGGTAAGGAGTGTTGAGCAATGGCGAATTGGTTGGAAATATTTGATCCAACACATTCGTCGGAAACGAGTGCCATGGCGAAACTCCCAATCTCCACCAGATCGATCAGCGAAATTGACGATTTGCTGAGTTAAGCCAACGAACTCACCGATCTGCGCAGATCGGCGAAAGAAAGTTCCGATCTACGTAGATCGGCGGGCGAAATCGCCGATCTGCGCAGATCGGCGGGAGAAATCGCCGATCCGCGCAGATCGGCGGGAGAAATCGCTGATCCGCGCCGATCGGCGGGAGAAATCGCCAATCTGCGCATATCGGCGGACGAAAGCGCCGATCTGCACAGAGCGCGAGCGAAATCGGGTTTCCTGACCCGACCCGACCCGGCCCGACCCGAACTCGGGTAACCTCTGACCCGAGTTCTTAGGCCCGAGTCGGGCCAGCTGTTTCAGGAATCTGGCCCAAACCCGGCCCGACCCGACCCGACCCGAGGGCCCAAATGGCCCGGCCAAATCGGGTCGGGTCGGGCCACATGCTCAACTCTAGCTCGGGTCAGGTCGGGTCGGCCCGTACGGGGCAGGCAAATGAAATCACTGACCCGACCCGAGCTAAACCACGGGTCGGGTCGGGCCGGCCCGACCCGAGCGGGGCAAATGCTCATCTCTACCCTCACCAGCAGGCAGGCTGGTTGCCGGGACCCCACAGGAGGTGAGGGCTGCCATTTCAGACCTGCTGGCGATACAGAGCCCAGCAGCATCCGAGCTGCCCCCACCCTACCAGTCCCACATGTCCAGAGACGGACATACGCAGAGGTCACTCGATCTGTCGTTTTTTTAACCCCCCCCACTACTCAGCCCAGCTCGTCATTCCCATCCCCGATGGAGACGGACCTGGTTCTGAGGCCATGCCACTCGCACCCAGATGTGGTGGCGCCTCCCCCCATTCAGCCTGTTGCCCACACACTTTCCGTGACGCAGGAGGGCACCAGCATCAGGTATGAGGCATCCGCCCCTGCCGATGCCCCTCCGTCTAGGGCAGCAGAGCCGCCAGTCGGACCCCACCTCGCCGATGGAGAGGGGCACACCACAGCATGCACTTCAGACGCACCTCTACATCCCCCCTTCCTGGCCCCTGGCCCGGTACTGCCACGAGGCCCGGCCCCGTCACCTAACCCCCCACAATTACCAGTGTCACTAGCCCCACCTGTGGATGCTCCCCACAGCCGTGGAGCACCTGTTTCTACTCCCGTCATGGACGTCCCCCCACAGGTCCCTCCGGACGACGACCTCCCTTCCACGGCTAGCTTACTCCTCGCTGCAGCGCCGACCCTTTTCCTCGCTCCAGCGACGCCACCCGACCGCTCGCACACGGCTGCCATTACTACGCGCATCGCCCATTTTGGCTAAGGTGAGTGGGATGAGCTACTCTCAGAGGCACTAGGTCGCCGCACACCCCTCCCTCGGCGCACATGTCACCGGTCACGCATTGCCACCGATCCCTCAACAGCAGATGAGCGTCGCATTGCGCGTTGCCTTCGGCTGGCGGCGTGCGTGCAATGAGACCTCACGGGTCTGCACGGCTCTTGAGTTAGTGGAGGCAGCCCCAGATACACAGGGGACGATACAGCGCCTTCGGTCGAAACACCCCAGTGCGGAAAGGCCGACACCGGATTGGCTGTCGGACTTCCGGGGGGCTGCTCTCTTACTTTCGGCGGATTATTTACGTCGCGCGATCTTCACAACCCCGCGAGGTTCCTCAGGGGGACCGTCCGGCTGGGTCGCTGAGCACGTTCGAGACACTTTCCCGGCTTTCTCTCAGAGTCTTCATTTCCTCCTGGCTGTGTACAAGCAGTGGCTCCGAGGTCATTGCGCTCCAGCTGCACGCTCGTTGCTAGCGTCCTCCACGCTCGTGGCCCTGGCGAAGTCGAACATGGATGTTCGGCCTATTGCCGTTGGCAAGGTCTTGGTCCGTATTCTTTCGCGAGCAGTCTGTCTCCAGCTACGCGACCAGATGGCGAGGGTGTTTTTGGCGTCTCAGCAGTTTGGGGTGGGGGTGACGTGCGGGACAGAGGCCGTAGTTAGAGGCGTCCGCCGCGCTCTGGCTGACCACCCAGACTGGGTGGTCATCCAACTTGACGTGGCGAACGATTTTAACTCATTCCACCGCGACAAGATGTTTGAGGCTCTTCAGGTCAGCCCGAATTTCCACTGCCTCATTCCCTTCATCGGCCTCTTCTATGGGACGTCTTCGGACCTCCACTACAGGTCAGGAACGAGGGTGGTCACGATGCACTAGGAGTGCGGCACTCGCCTGAGGACCACCTCAGCCCTTTTTTTGTACGCTCAGACACAGCGCCTTGCCTTTGAGCCGGTTCCGACGGAGAGCGATGTCCAGGTTTGGTCGTACGCCAACGACACGTACGTGCTAGGCCCTCCGGACAGGGTGCTACACCACTTCACAGAGATCGTGAAGCGCTTGGGCGAGATGGGCCTCGCGGTCCAACCGCACAAGTGCCTCGTCAACCAGGCAGAGCCATTTCTGTCCAAGGACATGGAGGCTTTCACGAGTCTGGGGATCGAGGTCGCACGCCGAGGGCTCACGGTGACAGGCGCGTCGGCGGGCAGCGTCTCGTTTGTGGAGCGCAGCCTCCCAGATCGTCTCGAGAGGATGGGGCGGGTGCTACCTTGGCTTCCAAGGTTGCGCCAGCCCCAAAAAGCCGCTCGCCTTCTTTGGGCGTGTATCAGCACTCGCCTGCAGTACTTGTCGAGGACTGTCCCTCCCTCGCCCGCAGTGCTCTCCAGCTTCAAACGGTGAGACGCACTCCTGGATGAGACTTTTCAGCAGCTTCTAGCGCCAGGGACCTGGGCTTGTCACGAGGACGTCCGAGAGGCCGCCCTAGACCAGATCTTCCTCCCTATCCGCTTCGGGGGTTTCGGCATCCGTCGCATGATGCGCATTGCCTCGGCGAGTTACTTGTCCTTTTGGGTGCAGTGTGCACCCATCCTCTGTTCTCTCCCTGCGTGTGGCGAGGTTTTTCGGCAGAGCTTCGCTTCAGGTGAGCCAGAGCAGATCGACCAGGCTCTGCAGACGGCGCTAGAGGGTCTCCCACCTGACGTTCTCTCTCCTTTCCTATTGGCCCTCTTGCGCTTCTGCCTCCTCTGATTCCCTTTTTGCAGGAGCGAGCTGCTTTCTGGAGGCGCATGCTTTGGAGGCCGTGCGTGCCCGCCACACCTCTCCCTTGCACCTTGCCCATTTGACTTCCCTTCAGGGCGGAGGTGCAGGAGCGTGGTTTCAGTAGGTGCCGTACGCCGATCTGCTGCGCTTCCCGGACGTGTAGTGGCAGGTGGCTTCATCATCCCGTCTTGGACTCCCTATCGCTCAGTTAGTCCTTGCAGGTCAGTGGTCCTGTGGACAGGCGATCGACGACATGACGGTGCCTCGTCACGCGATGCGGTGCCCACGTTCGGCGTCGCCACTACCATCCACGACACCATGAAGTTCATGCTTCGGGACTTTGCTGTCGAAGCGGGCTTCGCGGTGAAGGTGGAGGACTCTACGCTATTTACACAGCTGGAGGCAGCTCGGGCGAGACTGCAGGGACAGCTGGTAGTGGGAGAGAGGACGCGAGCTGGTGGGCCGTTGGAGCAAAGGGGCGAGGCGGGACAGCCTGGCGGCGGGGGGCAGTAGGGACAGCATCAGCTGCGTGGTTGGGTGGCGCAAGGGGCGGGTGGGCAGAGGGGACGGCAGGGGGAGCAGACCGGCCACGGCGGAAAGGGGGGACAGCAGAGGCAGCAGCAGGAGAGCCAGCAGAGGCCGCAAGCTCCGGGAGCCACGTTATTCGGGCCCGGGCTCAGGGGTAGGGCAGGGGAGAGAGTAGTATAGAGCGGACAGAGGTACAGGGGGGGCAGCGAGATTGGGAGGTGAGGATCAGGAGGTGTGAGAGGCAACAAAGGATCGAGCAGGGGGGTTGGGAGGGATGGAGGAGGGTAGTAGAGAGGGGGAGGGGAGAGGACAGGTGGGTGGAGGAGAGGATAGGGGGAGAGAGACGACCGGAGAGGAGGCATCGAGGGACCAGACACGGCAGCAGCCAGCGCAGCAGCAGGGACCAGTCGGACACACAGGCTGTGTAAGCACCCCCTCTCGCATCCCAGACCTCACTTGCCAGCACGTTGACAAATTTTTATGGTTATTGTGGATGTCTCTATAGCGGATCCACAGCGGTAAGGGATGTGCAGCTGACACGGGCGAGAGCTGTATTGGGCTGGGTGATCTCTCGGGAAGTCCTCGTATTGTACCCATTTATGCCCCTCGCGTCGGCATGTGCCGGGGAGGGGCAAGCGGGAAAAAAAGGATGATTTTAGTGCGTCCAATTATTTTATTTTCGTTTTTTTTTCCCGAACAACGACTCAACGGGGTGGGGGGCTCCAGGGGAGGCTTGCCCGCGCGAAGGACAGCGAAGGGAAAAGCGATGGGTGTAGGGAAAACAAAGAAGGGGCAGAGAGGGTACAAGGTAAGCTCAGGGATGGAAGAAACATGGGCGGCCAGGGGCAGGGGGAACAAAGCAGAGGCACGGAGAAAGATAGAAAGGTGCAGGGAGGGGAGAAACCGGGCGTGGGGGGGCGGAAAACGAGGGGCAGGGCGGGGATGAGGGAGAGGCAGGGAGGGGAGAGGCTGAGCACACGGAGGCGGGAAACGTGGGGCAGGGAGGTGGGAAGCCAAGGACAGGGGAGGAAGAGTGGGGGGGCGGGAAGAGGGGGGAGGAGGGGAGCGGAGAAAGGCAGCGAGGGGCAAGGAGGGGAGAAACCAAGCGCAGGGGGGCGAAAAACGAGGGGCAAGGTGCGGATTAAGGAAGGGCAGGAAGTGGAGTGGGTTAACGAGAGGAAGGAAGAAGCGTGCAGCAGAGGAGGGAGGGGGGAGGAGAAGGTAAACAAATGGATGGTTGAGGGGCAGGGGGTGTGACTATGAAGGGAGGACAAGGGCAAGCGTAGAGTCCTCCACCTTCACCGCGAAGTCCGATTCTACAGCAAAGTCCCGAAGCATGAACTTCACGGTGTCGTGGATGGTAGTGGCGACGCCGAACGTGTGCACCGCACCGCGTTATGAGGCACCGTCATGTCGTCGACCGCCTGTCCACTCGAGCACTGACCAGCAAGGGCTAACTGCGGGATAGGGAGACCAAGACGGAATAATGAAGTCACCTACCACTACACCTCCGGGAAGCGCAGCAGATCGGCGTACGGCACCTACTGAAACGACGCTCCTGCACCTCCGCCCTGAAGGGAAGTCAAATGGGCAAGGTGCAAGGGAGAGGTGTGACGGGCACGCACGACCTCCAAAGCATGCGCCTCCAGAAAGCAGCTCGCTCCTGCAAAAAGGGAATCAGAGGAGGCAGAAGCGCAAGAGGGCCAATAGGAAAGGAGAGAGAACGTCAGGTGGGAGACCCTCTAGCGCCGTCTGTAGAGCCTGGTTGATCTGCTCTGGCTCACCTGAAGCGAAGCTCTGCCGAAAAACCTCGCCACACGCAGGGAGAGAACAGAGGATGGGTGCACACTGCACCCAAAAGGACAAGTAACTCGCCGAGGCAATGCGCATCATGCGACGGATGCCGAAACCCCCGAGACGGATAGGGAGGAAGATCTGGTCTAGGACGGCCTCTCGGACGTCCTCGTGACAAACCCAGGTCCATGGCTCTAGAACCTGCTAAAAAGTCTCACCCAGGCGTGCGTCTCACCGTTTGAAGCTGGAGAGCACAGCGAGCGAGGGAGGGACAGTCCTCGACAAGTACTGCAGGCGAGTGTTGACACACGCCGAAAGAAGGCGAGTGGCTTTCTGGGGCTGGCGCAACCTTGGAAGCCAAGGTAGCACCCGCCCCATCCTCTCGAGATGATCCGGGAGGCTGCGCTCCACAAACAAGACGCTGCCCGCCGGCGCATCTGTCACCGTGAGCCCTCGGCGTGCGACCTCGATCCCCAAGCTCGTGAAAGCCTCCATGTCCTTGAAAATAAAGGACTCTGTCTGGTTGACGAGGCATTTGTGTGGTTGGACTGCGAGGCCCATCTCGCCCAAGCGCCTCATGATCTCTGTGAAGTGGTGTAGCACCCTGTCCGGAGGGCCTAGCACGTACGTGTCGTTGCGTACGACCAAACCTGGACATCGCTCTCCGTCGGAACCGGCTCAAAGGCAAGGCGCTGTGTCTAAGCGTACAAAAAAGGGGCTGAGGTGGTCCCCTGGCGAGTGCCGCGCTCCGAGTGCATCGTGATCACCCTCGTACCTGACCTGTAGTGGAGGTCCGAAGACGTCCCATAGAAGAGGCCGATGAAGGGAATGAGGCAGTGGAAATTCGGGCTGGCCTGCAGAGCCTCAAACATCTTGTCGCGGTGGAATGAGTTAAAATCGTTCGCCACGTCAAGTTGGATGGTCAGCCAGAGCGCAGCGGACGCCTCTAACTACGGCCTCTGTCCCGCACGTCACCCCCACCTCAAACTGCAGTGACGCCAAAAACACCCTCGCCATCTGGTCGCGTAGCTGGAGACAGACTGCTCGCGAAAGAATGCGGACCAAGACCTTGCCAACGGCAATAGGCCAAACATCCATGTTCGACTTCGCCAGGGCCACGAGCGTGGAGGACGCTATCAACGAGCGTGCAACTGGAACACAATGACCTCGGAGCCACTGCTGGTACACAGCCAGGAGGAAATGAAGACTCTGAGAGAAAGCCAGGAAAGTGTCCCGAACGTGCTGAGCGACTCAGCCGGACGGTCCCCCTGAGGAATCTCGCGGGGTTGTGAAGATGGCGCGAAAGTAAGAGAGCAGGCCCCCGGAAGCCTGACAGCCAATCCGGGCCGGGGTCGGCCTTTCCGCACTGGGGTGCTTCGACCGAAGGCGCTGTATCGTCCCCTGTGTATCTGGGGCTGCCTCTACTGACTCAAGAGCCGCGCAGACCCGTGAGGTCTCATTGCACGCCGCCAGCCGAAGGCAACGCGCAATGCGACGCTCATCTGCTGTTGAGGGATCGGTGGCAATGCGTGACCGGTGACATGTGCGCCGAGGGAGGGGTGTGCGGCGACCTAGTGCCTCTGAGAGTAGCTCATCCCACTCACCTTGGCCAAAATGGGCGATGCGCGTAGTAATGGCAGCCGTGTGCGAGCGGTCGGGTGGCGTTGCTGGAGCGAGGAAAAGGGTCGACGCTGCAGCGAGGAGGAAGGTAGGGCGAGCAGCCTCCGGGTCCTGGGCAATGTGGGCTAAGATCGCACTGAGGACGTCGAGATATCCTCCACGAATTTTCTCCGGGACACGCCGGAGAGGGCGTGCATGGATACGCTCAGGCGAAAAGTACCCCGTCCAGTCCATCGAGTCGAGCGTCTGCCACTGTGCGTCAGTTAACTGTATCCCGGTCGCACGGGGCAGTGAGAGAGAAGGAAGAATCGAGGTAGTGTCATGCACGGCCTGTGCCCAGCAAGCTGCATCGGCCGGGTGGCAGAAGGGCGTATGGTGCCCGAGTGCTCGAGTGCTCTCGAGAGTGCACCGGCGGGTAGGACATCTGACGGGATGCTCAGGTGACGTGATCGTATCAGCGGGGTCGTTCGGGGTGATGTCATCGGAGCTAGCCGTGGAAGGGAGGTCGTCGTCCGGAGGGACCTGTGGGGGGACGTCCATGACGGGAGTAGAAACAGGTGCTCCACGGCTGTGGGGAGCATCCACAGGTGGGGCTAGTGGCACTGGTAATAGTGGGGGGTTAGGTGACGGGGCCGGGCCTCGTGGCAGTACCGGGCCAGGGGCCAGGAAGGGGGGATGTAGAGGTGCGTCTGAAGTGCATGCTGTGGTGTGCCCCTCTCCATCGGCGAGGTGGGGTCCGACTGGCGGCTCTGCTACCCTAGACGGAGGGGCATCGGCAGCGGCGGGTGCCTCATACCTGATGCTGGTGCCCTCCTGCGTCACGGAAAGTGTGTAGGCAACAGGCTGAATGGAGGGAGGCGCCACCACATCTGGGTGCGAGTGGCATGGCCTCAGAACCAGGTCCGTCTCCATCGGGGATGGGAGTGACGAGCTGGGCTGAGTAGTTGGGGGGGGGTGAAAGAAACGACAGATCGAGTGACCTCTGCGTATGTCCGTCTCTGGACCTGTGGGACTGGTAGGGTTGGGGCAGATCAGGTGCTGCTAGGGCTCTCTATCGCCAGCAGATCTGAAATGGCAGCCCTCACCTCCTGTGGGGTCCCGGCAACCAGCCTGCCTGCTGGTGAGGGTAAGAGGAGTGGCAGGGTAGAGGGTGGGATGGGGCGTACTGGCTGAGCGGAGCTCGGGTGTGGTCCCTGCGCCAGAGAGCCCCCTTGGCCCTTGCCCCACTTGGCGTCGACACGAATGGGTGTCGGTGGTGTCGCCATGGGCTCGTCCCTCATCCCGTCGGCCCCCATACCGGCAGCGTACGCAGTTGCCGCCACCTGGGGTGGGTTCAGAAGGGAGAGGTGGCCTGAAAGGGAGTGGGCGGAATTGTTCCCGCGGTCCTGTGGAGGGGCAGACACGGGAGGGAAGTGTGAGTTAGGTTGTTGGCCTGTAGGTATAGGACCTGGTGCAGGTTGAGCGGGATGTGAGGAGAGGGGGGCGCTTGGAGGGGAGGGGAGGGAGGGGGGAGTAGGTGAGCTGACCCTTTGCCTCCTTTGCCTCTGTTCCTCCGCCGTTGGCCAGCTTGGTTTTCGTTGTCCCTGCATGGGTGTGAAGGAAGGGGGGATTGGGAAGCCAAGGGGGTGGGTGGGGGGAGCATGGGTGATTGGTGAGGGGGGGGAAGCTCCGTGTGTATCCCTCTCCTCCCCATGACATCGCCATGCTTAGCGGGCTGTATAAAGGGGGCGATGGCTGGCCAACGGGGCCATTCGTGGGAAACCGGCCGGGCGCGGGGGTTGTATGTGGGGGCCGAGGCGCTAGAGTGGTCTGGAGGTAAGAGCGAGGTGCAAGCGGTGGGGGGAGGAAGGTTTGTGATGGCTCAGTGGTGGCAGGGGGTGGGGGAACGAGTGGGAGAGAAGATTTTGAGGTTGTGCCCCCATGCTGGAAGTTGGGGCAAGAGCCCCTCCCGCTGGTGGCCCCTCCTGTAGGCCCCGCCACCGAGGTATCGTCGCCCTCATGAGACTCCACAGGTCTTTGCAGGTGGGACTTGGCTGCTTGGGGGGGGTGGTGTGAGGAGGGCCGCCCGTTGGGTGAGAATGTTGGGAATGTGCGACGGCTTCGGTGGTTCGGGTGTATGTAGGGGTTGAGAGAGAGATGTGGCCGGAGAGAGTCCTCGACTTACGAGATGTATGTAGTTCTGGCCGGGGGGGGGACCTGGTGGGGCAGGAGGTAGGAGATTGGCAGGAGATGATTGAGAGGTGTCGGGGAGCATGGCTCCGCCAGGAATGCCAGCGCCCTGGCTGCTCCTCTTGGTGCTCGGAGGAACCCCTAGGAGTGGGGGCATGAGTGTGCTGCCCTTGGGGACGAGGCAGGGGGCGGGAAAGGGTGGGAGGTGAGAATGGGGTTGCCCTTGGGAGGCTCTGCCCTTGTCGCACCCGCGTGCTCTGCCGAATGTCCGCCTGCAAGCGTGGGTTCAGGCGTTGAGGGAAGAGGGGGGGGCTGGTGTTGGGACTGTGTAGGGGTTGGGGAGCACGGCTCTGCCAGGAAGGCCAGAGCCCTGGCTGCCCCCCTAGATGCTAGAGGGAACCCCTGCAGGTGAAGGTGGGGAAGTGGTGCTCCTGGGGGAGGGTGGGCTGGAAAATGAGGCTTAGAGATAGGAGCGCCCTCAAGAGGCTCTGTCCTCGATGTCTCCTACAGCCCCTCCATCGGTCCACCTGCCAGGGAGGGATTGGGTATGGGGGGGGGAGGGAGGTTCTCGCCATTGCGGGGGGGGGTGGGTTTGCCTCAGAGGCAAGTGTGAGGTAGACGACCAGCGGGCCGTCAATGTGCATCAAATTCTCGTGTGCCTCCTGTTCTGTATCACCGGCCCCCCTTAAGAATCCTACCTCCCCTGTTCTTGCTGCCCAACTCTCCCTTGCGCCTGCTTTCCCTGCTGGCTCGTCACTGACAGCACCTCCTGCAGCACTTTTCACTTCCATGAAGGCGTCTTCTGCCCTAGCTTTTTTCCCCACCGCTGCCGAAGCAGCCTCAATTGTCCCCTCCCTCGTTGCAGCCCCTGCTGCGCTCTCTCCTGCTGCTGCCGGGGCTGCACTTTCTCTTGCACCCACCTTTGATTCACCCCCATGCTCTGCAGCCCCTTCATCCCCTTCCCTTGCTGTACCTCCCATTGCACTTCCTCCTGCTACACTCCCCTCTGCTGCCCTCACCTCTGAAGCCTTTCTTACCGTAGAAACCCTCCCTGGGGTAGAGACTCGCGCTGTAGGCTTCGCTGCCCTACAACTTGCTACTGCCATCCCAACCGCTGCCTCTGCTGCCCCTGGTGCGGCCTCTGCCGCACCCATGACGACCTTCGCTGCCCCGTTACCTGCAGTGACTCCTTTGCTGTCTTCGGCAGCCTTTGCTGCTCCATCCCTTGCAGCACCTACTGCCCCTTCCTCTGCAGCCTCTGCTGCCCCTTCTCCCATATATAGCCTTTGCTGGCTCTTCCTCTGCAGCCTCTGCTGTCCCTACCCCTGCAACCTCTGCTTGTTTTTCCTCTGCAGCCTCCGCTGCCCCTTTCCATGTCGGCTGCTGGCCCTTCCTTTGCCGCCTTTGCTGCCCCTTCCCCTCCAGCCTCTGCTTGTCCTTCAATTGCAGCCTCCGCTGCTCCTTCCTGTGTGGCCTTTGCTGTCCCTTCCTTTGCGACCTTGGCTGCCCCTTCCCATGCAGCCTCTGCTGCCCCTTTCCGTGCCGCCTCTACTGCCCTTTCCTCTGCAGCCTCTGCTGCCCCTTCCCCCACAACCTCACTTACCCCTTCCCGTGCAGCGTCTGTTGCAAGTTTTTCCCAGGCTCTGCCCTCTCCCACTCCTATGTGCTTGGGGTTGCGCGTAGGATTAAGTGTTTTCACATGTTTTTTGCTTTGAGAGTGGGAGGTAGTCATTGAGTTGGAGAACCTCTCCACTGAGCATGCACGGGTGCTGCCCCCGCTGTCACCTGGAGGGGGGGTAGGCTGGGATGGGGCAGCAGGGTTGGGGCACGGTTTTGAGCGCGCTGGAACCTCCTCGTGTATTTCTTCCAGTGGGGCTTGGCATTTCTGCGCTCCATCTTCTTCAAGGGTTCGCTTCTGGCCACTAGGGTCAGAGCGTTTAAGTGCTTTTGCTTGGTCAGGAGCGGGTTGTTTCTTCCTGACTATTGACGTGGAAGGGGGGGGGTGGGTGCGTAGGGGGTGGCTCGGCTGCGGGCCCTCCCAGATCGCCGAGGGGCTCTCGGGTCTGCCTTTCCCCCACATGCGGGGTGCTGGGGCATTGTCACAAAGACTGCATGCCTGGTGGTGGTGGTGTGGGTGGCTGGGGTTGGCTGGGAATGGCGTCAGAGGGAGTGGATACTCCCTGTCAGAGGCCGGGGTGAGCGGGGTTAGCTTGGAAAAAAGGGAAGAGTGTGGGGAAAGCTGTGCGTAGTGGGCTGAAGAAGGGGGCCAACAGTTGGAGAGGATGGGGGACCAAGGGGGGCCGAGCGGGGGGACAGAGGGGCCCCAATCCCCTCTGTCCCTTGTTTTTCAGCCCCCCATTATATTTTGCATTTACCACAGAGCTCCTCTTTTTGGTGCCCTCTCTGCCCTCCCACGCTCTCACCTCCCGGCCCCCAACCTCCTCATTACCCGCTACCAGTAACCAGGCTCACGCCAGCTCGACCACCCGCTCCCTCGCCAACTACCCTTTGCCCCTTCCCCTCTGCCCTCCCCCCTTCCCTCCCCCCTTTGCCTCACCTGCCCATCCCAACCTCCCGTTGAATTCTGTCCCGCCCTCCCCACTTCGGTCCCACCACCCTTCCCCACACCCTGCTCACCTCTCGCTACATCACCCCCGCTCCCGCACCTCCCCTGCAAAGAGCGATAATAGCAGAGAGGCAAGCCCCACGGGGGGAGGAAATATGGAGGGTACTGGAGAAGGGGGAGACTGGGGGGGGTTTGGGAAGGGGGTTGGAAGGCACAAGGGGCAGTAACAGGGGGTGTAGAGGTTGGCTGGGGGAAAGAAAGGTGGTCTGGTGCCAAGGAAAGGCAGAGGGAGGTTGGAAAAGGGGGCTGGACAGCACAGGGAGCAGGGGCAGGGGGTGTAGAGCTTGGCTGTGGGTGGGAAGGGCGGTGTGCTGCCAGGTGGCGGCAGGTGGGTCACCGAAGGGCCTGGCAGGACGGGATGCAGAGGTGCAGCCCAGCTGGATATGGGAGGAGGTGGGGGGGAAAGGGAGGCTGGAGAGGGGAGTACGGCTCGTAGTGGTGTGGAGGGCAGAGTGGAAGTGGGGAAGGCAGGGGGGGGAGTGGAGGAGGTACGTTGTGGGCAGGGAAGTGGGGGAACATGTGGGTGGTGATAGGGAGAAGCTGGGCGAGGGGGAGGTGGTACGGAGTGGGACAGGGATGACAAAGGACAATGCACGAAGGACCTGGGGGCAGGGAGAGAAGGGGCTGGACGGAGAAAAGCCTGCCTGTTGGGGGGGGCGTTGTGGGGAAGTGGGGGAAAGGGGCGGGAATGGTGGTGCGCAAAAGGCAGGGGTATGGTGCAGTGAGGTGGAATTGAGAGGGGGGATGTGGACTGGATGAAGTCCTCGAGGGTTGGGGAAAACGAAGCGTAAGCTGCCTTGCGGATATTCTGGTTTTGTTTTATTTATTCTTTGTTTTATTCTTTTTTTATTCTTTTTTTCTTATTATTCAATTCCTCTTATTTCCACAGTTTTCAGAGCGTCACCTGCCAGACAGGGCGGCAGCTAAGCGCCACAAGAAAAAGGTAGAGGTTAGGCGGCGGTGTGGGTGGAACCGGGACGTGCAAGGGGGGAAGGGGCGTGTGGACAAGGAAGTGACTACGTGGGTGACTGCGGGTAAGAATACGACGCGTAAGAAAGGCACGCACTCGCGCGCGAAGAGGCATGGCAGGGGGGTCGCGAGCAAGGGGGAGTGGGGCGGCTTGTATGCAAAACTTAGGCGGCAAAAACGCGCTAGGCAGTAAACGCTCTTCGAGAGGCGGAAATGTCAAGCGCAACGGGCGGCGTGGGAGAGCCGCTCAATCGCTACTAACGTAGCAATTTCGCCTCTCTCCGCGCTGGCGTTCCGTGGCGCTAAACACCCCGTGTGTTTAGGGTTACGGGGAGTCGAAATAACAACAGTAACGGCGGCGCGCGCCTTGGGTTTCTTGATTAGGGTTTCGTTAGCGATTTGAACGGTGGAAACGGAGAATAGAAGAGTCGATCGCGGATGGTAGTCGTGAGGGTTGAAGCTAGACTTAGTGTTGGCTTATAGACCGTGTTAAGCGTGAGAATCAACTACGGCAAAAGCTAAGCAAAATTACTTCGAGAGAGAAAAGCAGCGGGAAGATTACTAGAGCGGGGCGATGGGAGCAGAGTTTCGAAAGAGGGGGATGGGCGGGAACACCGTGTCTGGCGGAGTTGGGGATGTGGGCCGCGCGTGATGTAACTCGTCGCGGGCGACCGTCGCGCCACCGCACCCCCTCGTGTTACACTCGCTGTAACGCGTCCGCAACGTCTCCGCGATGGTGGGGCCCGACCGTCGATCCCGTTACACCCGGTAGGTACCGTTTCCGAAGGTCTAGAGGGTCGCGCGCGAAACTCGCGACCCCCGTCTCGTCGAACTAGACCTTTAAAACCCGCGGGCCAAGAACTTCAACCTTAGGAAGGTTGATTGGGTTCAGGAATAGCGATAGGCCCGCGAACACAAGAAGTGTCGAAAATAACAAACGAATTTCGCGGACCAGGGCAACCTCGCCAAGGTTACCCGAGTCCGAATGCGACCTCAACACCCCCAACCACCACGTCGCCCAACCCCGGATGCGACATGCGAGAACAACACCACTCATCCAAGCAACCTTGTCCAGCACCCCGTCTCCCCTAGATAAGTAAGGCGGTTCTCATACTTGTACTTCTTCTCGTCACTCTGTGCAAGTAGGTTCAGCCAATAGACCCAGCTACCCTTCCGCGCTCGTCGCCTTTGGTTGCGACATTGATGCCATCGTAGCACTTCTCTGCCTCGATGTACAGGTGCGTTCTGACCACGGCGCGACATCCTTGGCTCACATGCTCCATCGGGAACGACCGCAATTTTAGTTTCCTCAATCCGCGCTCTTGTGACTCTGTACACACGCCATAAACCCATGCGCGTCGCATAACAAATCATACGGTCTATGCAACGATTCTCAGTTAGCCTCACCGCGATGCGTCGTTCCGCAAAGGCGTAAGGGACTATCCAAGCCCTGCACTACCCGTCTCCTCACGCAGAGATACACGCGGCACATTTCCGAAGAAATGACGCATGAACAACCATTCCCGTCGCCTTCACATCCCCCTCCCCGTCTCTTTCACTTCCCCCTCCCGTCGCCTCCACATCCCCCTACCGTCGCCTTCACTTCCCCCTCCAGTCGCCTCCACATCCCCCTACCGTCGCCTTCACTTCCCCCTCCCGTCGCCATCACATCCCCCTCCCGTCGCCTTCACATCCCCCTCCCGTCGCCATCACATCCCCCTCCCGTCGCCTTCACATCCCCCTCCCGTCGCCTTCACTTCCCCCTCCCGTCGCCTTCACATCCCCCTCCCGTCGCCTTCACTTCCCCCTCCCGTCGCCTCGACATCCCCCTCCCGTCGCCTTCACTTCCCCCTCCCATCGCCATCACATCCCCCTCCCGTCGCCTTCACATCCCCCTCCCGTCGCCATCACATCCCCCTCCCGTCGCCTTCAGATCCCCCTCCCGTCGCCTACCCATCCCCCTCCCGTCGCCTTCACATCCCCCTCCCGTCGCCCTCACTTCCCCCTCCCGTCGCCTTCACTTCCCCCTCTCCCCCCCAAGCCCCCGCCCACTCTTCCTCCGGTTGACGCTTCACTTGCGCCTACGCATCTGCACCCATGCGCCCCCTTTCCTCACTCCCAACATCCCCTATCCACCCCCGCCTCCGCCCCTTCCCCTGCAGTCGCTGGTTCACTTGCGCACTCCTTTAGTGTGGGGCAGCATCATCAGCCTCGCCTCTCCCTCGCTGCTCCACGCCTTCCCCCCTGCTCTCCGCCAACCTCGCCGTGACTGCCCCTGTCCCACGGCCCCGCCCACCCCTAACTCACCGTCCTCCACCTCTCCCACTGCCCCCTTCTTACCATTGGCTTCTCACCCCCCTCATCCTCATCCTCACCGCCCTCCACCAGGCTCTCTCCCAAGCAGCAGTATCCCTCTCACACCACCACCTCTCTACTGCTGCTGACCCTGACGCCCTTGTGTTACACCTCGCCCACTCCTGTCCCCACACGGTATGTAAGCTCTTCACCACTCTCCATCGCACTCTACTCCCCCTCCACGCACTCACAACCTGCCCTGCGAGCTGAAGTGGTTACAAGCAGCAGTAACACCCTCACACACCTTGATCTCTCCGGCGCACTCTGTCTCCCCTGCTCATGCTCACCTACCCGGGTCACTCTGTTTCACCGCACACTTCGCTCCCCTTCCCGTCCCCCCTGCCATTAACCCCTCTCTCGTTCCCCTTTCCTTCCCCGGCATCCACCCGCCCCAGCCCCCTCCCCCCCGCGTCCAGTCCCCCACTGCCCCCCATTTCTCCCCTTCGAACACCCCACTCTCCCTCGCCCTTTTCCCACACAGTAATCTTCCCTGGTTCCCCGATGCCAACCCTCCGCTTCCCCCACGCACCTCCCATCTTAGTTCAGAAAGACGCGACCTGCGTCCTGGACGCATGCGTCCAGACGCATGCGTCCAGACGCAGGACGCTGACCCTTGACCTGTAAGACGCACCAAAAGACGCAAGCCCGGGCAGGGCAAAAAAAATCCCCGGGCAGGCCAAAAAAAATAGTATAGGGCTTGGGAGAGGGGGGGGGGGGTGTCATACCACAAAATTTTCCCCCAAAATTTGAGATTAAGGTGAGTCACGTGTCACACATTTCACAGAAGGAATGCTCGAGGAAGCCATAGCGGAGTTTAGGTGGTAAGCTAAGCTAAGACCTAAAACCTCTATGGGTTTACGAAAGAGAATTGGTGAGGGGAAAATGAGAAGCCACAAAAGGTTGCCATGCTAAATGTGCTTGGTGGTGGTGGGCTACAAAGGTTGGGATTTGTAGATGCTAAGTGGTTGAGAGGTTTGAGTGAAATTCAATTTTGGTTTAGTTGTTAGGGAATGTTAGGGGGGCTGGTTTTGAATGGCGAATTGGGCTTGGGGTGGGGAAATTTCGCGATTTCGACATTCGCGTCGAAATCGCGAATGCCAAAATCGCGATCGAAAAATTTATTTTTCGGGCTGCCCGAAAAAAATTTCGACGTGCGTCCTGCGTCTGGACGCGCGTCCTGCGTCCTAGCGTCCGGACGCTGCGTCCGGACGCAGGACGCAGCGTCCTAGCTGCGTCTTTCCGAACTAAGCCTCCCATACCCGCACTACCACCCTGTCTTTCCGCAACTAACACCCTCCCTTTCCCCCACTCCTACCCCCGCTTTCCCCCGCTTCTCCCCTCTCTTTCCCCCACTCCACTCGTGCCCCCCCCCCCCCTCTCCCGCGGGCCTTTCCCCCACTTCCCCCAGTCCGCTCATCCATCTCATCTCATCCACTCTCCCCCCCTGCTACACATCTCATCCACTCTCCCCCCCTGCTACACATCTCATCCACTCTCCCCCCCTGCTACACATCTCATCCACTCTCCCCCCCTGCTACACATCTCATCCACTCTCCCCCCCTGCTACACATCTCATCCACTCTCCCCCCCTGCTACACATCTCATCCACTCTCCCCCCCTGCTACACATCTCATCCACTCTCCCCCCCTGCTACACATCTCATCCACTCTCCCCCCCTGCTACACATCTCATCCACTCTCCCCCCCTGCTACACATCTCATCCACTCTCCCCCCCTGCTACCCATCTCATCCCCTCTCCCCCCCTGCTACCCATCTCATCCACTCTCCCCCCCTGCTACCCATCTCATCCCCTCTTCCCCCCTGTTACCCATCTCTTCCACTCTCAGGATGCGGGCACAAGATAAAAGGGCCAGGGTTGGTGCATGCTCCTCGCTTCCCCCCTGCTCACTCTCTTCAGCCCACTCTCTCCCTTTCTCACCCATTTGGGTGGAGGGATACTGACAAGGGGTTCCTCCACCTCCCCCCCTTGCTGATTCTGCCACACGTTTTCCCCAATTCGCCCCCTTCCTCCACGCCAACCCCTCCTTTTCTCCCACACAAGTCCTCCTCTGCCCCCACGCCAACCCCTCCTTTTCCCCCACACTAGTCCTCTTCTGCCCCCACGCCAACCCCCGTTTGGCCAACCCTACCAGCCACCTTTCCTCCTTGCTACCCTGCGTAGGAGGCTTCCCGCTGCAACCCTTGTCATCCTCCATCCCCCCTGCCTTCCCTTGTCATTCTCTCGTCCCCCTCATTACCATTGGCATGCTCCCTGCACTCGGCACTCACCACAACTTCCTAGCATTCCCTGGTATTCTCCCCTACACCTTGCTACCTTTGTCATTCCATCAGCTCCTTGCTACCGCTGTCATACGATCATCTCTGCTGCTACCCCTAAGATGCACCACTTCCACAGCCCCCCATGTCATATCTCCCTTCAATTGCAACCCAAGAGCGGCGGTCCCACCAGCCTGCAACCCTTATCATTCTCTCATACTCCTTGCGATCCCTGCCATATCTCCGTCCTGCGATGCTACCCTTAAAAATTCTCCATGAGCGCTGCTACCCAACTCTCAGCCACCCCTCCCATTGCTACCCCCATCAATGACCCTTTCCCCCTAGCTACCCTTGTCATTCTCCCTCCCCGCTGCTACCCTTGTGAGCCACCCCTTTCCCATTGCTACCGTGGTCAGTCACCCAACTTTTACCCCTTGGTACCCCTATCACTCCCGAGATATCCTGCTTAGGGCGTCAACCACCCTTCCCCATAGCTACCCTTGTCATCCTCCCTTCCCCGCTGTTACCCTTGTCAGCCTCCCTCCCGCGTTTCTACCGTGGTCAGCTACGCTCGCCCATTGCTGCCGTTGTCAGCCACCCACCCCATGGACTACCCTTGTCATTCTCTACCCTCTGCTACCCTTGTCATACTCCTGCAGATGGTACCCTTGTCATTCCCTCCCCCCTGCAACCCTTGTCATTCTCTTCCCTCTGCTACCCTTGTCCTCCTCCCTTCCTTTTCCTGCCCTTGTCATGGTGTGTGTGACAGCGAAGCGGTCATGGAGAATGCCATTGATGATTTGTCAACGAGGCAGCGCTTCAATGATTATGTCCTCCAACTCATTGAGCGAGCTGCGATACACGCACAACGTCATATCCCTGTGGCAGCCGAGCACGATATGGCTGCTGATCATGGTGCAGGTGTACAGACCGGAGGGGGCAGCAAGCTCAAGGGAGAATGACAAGGGCATCAATGGGGGAGGGGGATTGACTAGGGTAGCATAGGGGATGGTAGAATGACTAGGGGCAGCAAGCTCAAGGGAGAATGACAAGGGCATCAATGGGGGAAGGGGATTGAATAGGGTAGCATAGGGGATGGTAGAATGACCAGGGGCCGCAAGCTGAGGGGAAAATGACAAGGGCATCAATGGGGGAGGGGGATTGACTAGGGTAGCATAGGGGATGGTAGAATGAATAGGGGCAGCAAGCTCAAGGGAGAATGACAAGGGCATCAATGGGGGAGGGGGATTGACTAGGGTAGCATAGGGGATGGTAGAATGACCAGGGGCAGCAAGCTCAAGGGAGAATGACAAGGGCATCAATGGGGGAGGGGGATTGACTAGGGTAGTATAGGGGATGGTAGAATGACTAGGGGCAGCAAGCTCAAGGGAGAATGACAAGGGCATCAATGGGGGAGGGGGATTGACTAGGGTAGCATAGGGGATGGAAGAATGAATAGGGGCAGCAAGCTCAAGGGAGAATGACAAGGGCATCAATGGGGGAGGGGGATTGACTAGGGTAGCATAGGGGATGGTAGAATGACTAGGGGCAGCAAGCTCAAGGGAGAATGACAAGGGCATCAATGGGGGAAGGGGATTGACTAGGGTAGCATAGGGGATGGTAGAATGACCAGGGGCCGCAAGCTGAGGGGAAAATGACAAGGGCATCAATGGGGGAGGGGGATTGACTGGGGTAGCATAGGGGATGGTAGAATGAATAGGGGCAGCAAGCTCAAGGGAGAATGACAAGGGCATCAATGGGGGAGGGGGATTGACTAGGGTAGCATAAGGGATGGTAGAATGACCAGGGGCAGCAAGCTCAAGGGAGCATGACAAGGGCATCAATGGGGGAGGGGGATTGACTAGGGTAGCATAGGGGATGGTAGAATGACTAGGGGCAGCAAGCTCAAGGGTGAATGACAAGGGCATCAATGGGGGAGGGGGATTGACAAGGGTAGCATAGGGGATGGTAGAATGAATAGGGGCAGCAAGCTCAAGGGTGAATGACAAGGGCATCAATGGGGGAGGGGGATTGACTAGGGTAGCATAGGGGATGGTAGAATGACCAGGGGCAGCAAGCTCAAGGGAGAATGACAAGGGCATCAATGGGGGAGGGGGATTGACTAGGGTAGCATAGGGGATGGAAGAATGAATAGGGGCAGCAAGCTCAAGGGAGAATGACAAGGGCATCAATGGGGGAGGGGGATTGACTAGGGTAGCATAGGGGATGGTAGAATGACTAGGGGCAGCAAGCTCAAGGGAGAATGACAAGGGCATCAATGGGGGAAGGGGATTGAATAGGGTAGCATAGGGGATGGTAGAATGACCAGGGGCCGCAAGCTGAGGGGAAAATGACAAGGGCATCAATGGGGGAGGGGGATTGACTAGGGTAGCATAGGGGATGGTAGAATGAATAGGGGCAGCAAGCTCAAGGGAGAATGACAAGGGCATCAATGGGGGAGGGGGATTGACTAGGGTAGCATAGGGGATGGTAGAATGACCAGGGGCAGCAAGCTCAAGGGAGAATGACAAGGGCATCAATGGGGGAGGGGGATTGACTAGGGTAGTATAGGGGATGGTAGAATGACTAGGGGCAGCAAGCTCAAGGGAGAATGACAAGGGCATCAATGGGGGAGGGGGATTGACTAGGGTAGCATAGGGGATGGAAGAATGAATAGGGGCAGCAAGCTCAAGGGAGAATGACAAGGGCATCAATGGGGGAGGGGGATTGACTAGGGTAGCATAGGGGATGGTAGAATGACTAGGGGCAGCAAGCTCAAGGGAGAATGACAAGGGCATCAATGGGGGAAGGGGATTGACTAGGGTAGCATAGGGGATGGTAGAATGACCAGGGGCCGCAAGCTGAGGGGAAAATGACAAGGGCATCAATGGGGGAGGGGGATTGACTGGGGTAGCATAGGGGATGGTAGAATGAATAGGGGCAGCAAGCTCAAGGGAGAATGACAAGGGCATCAATGGGGGAGGGGGATTGACTAGGGTAGCATAAGGGATGGTAGAATGACCAGGGGCAGCAAGCTCAAGGGAGCATGACAAGGGCATCAATGGGGGAGGGGGATTGACTAGGGTAGCATAGGGGATGGTAGAATGACTAGGGGCAGCAAGCTCAAGGGTGAATGACAAGGGCATCAATGGGGGAGGGGGATTGACAAGGGTAGCATAGGGGATGGTAGAATGAATAGGGGCAGCAAGCTCAAGGGTGAATGACAAGGGCATCAATGGGGGAGGGGGATTGACTAGGGTAGCATAGGGGATGGTAGAATGACCAGGGGCAGCAAGCTCAAGGGAGAATGACAAGGGCATCAATGGGGGAGGGGGATTGACTAGGGTAGCATAGGGGATGGTAGAATGACTAGGGGCAGCAAGCTCAAGGGAGAATGACAAGGGCATCAATGGGGGAGGGGGATTGACTAGGGTAGCATAGGGGATGGTAGAATGAATAGGGGCAGCAAGCTCAAGGGAGAATGACAAGGGCATCAATGGGGGAGGGGGATTGACTAGGGTAGCATAGGGGATGGTAGAATGACTAGGGGCAGCAAGCTCAAGGGAGAATGACAAGGGCATCAATGGGGGAAGGGGATTGACTAGGGTAGCATAGGCGATGGTAGAATGACCAGGGGCCGCAAGCTGAGGGGAAAATGACAAGGGCATCAATGGGGGAGGGGGATTGACTAGGGTAGCATAGGGGATGGTAGAATGAATAGGGGCAGCAAGCTCAAGGGAGAATGACAAGGGCATCAATGGGGGAGGGGGATTGACTAGGGTAGCATAGGGGATGGTAGAATGACCAGGGGCCGCAAGCTGAGGGGAAAATGACAAGGGCATCAATGGGGGAGGGGGATTGACTGGGGTAGCATAGGGGATGGTAGAATGAATAGGGGCAGCAAGCTCAAGGGAGAATGACAAGGGCATCAATGGGGGAGGGGGATTGACTAGGGTAGCATAAGGGATGGTAGAATGACCAGGGGCAGCAAGCTCAAGGGAGCATGACAAGGGCATCAATGGGGGAGGGGGATTGACTAGGGTAGCATAGGGGATGGTAGAATGACTAGGGGCAGCAAGCTCAAGGGTGAATGACAAGGGCATCAATGGGGGAGGGGGATTGACTAGGGTAGCATAGGGGATGGTAGAATGAATAGGGGCAGCAAGCTCAAGGGTGAATGACAAGGGCATCAATGGGGGAGGGGGATTGACTAGGGTAGCATAGGGGATGGTAGAATGACCAGGGGCAGCAAGCTCAAGGGAGAATGACAAGGGCATCAATGGGGGAGGGGGATTGACTAGGGTAGCATAGGGGATGGTAGAATGACTAGGGGCAGCAAGCTCAAGGGAGAATGACAAGGGCATCAATGGGGGAGGGGGATTGACTAGGGTAGCATAGGGGATGGTAGAATGAATAGGGGCAGCAAGCTCAAGGGAGAATGACAAGGGCATCAATGGGGGAGGGGGATTGACTAGGGTAGCATAGGGGATGGTAGAATGACTAGGGGCAGCAAGCTCAAGGGAGAATGACAAGGGCATCAATGGGGGAAGGGGATTGACTAGGGTAGCATAGGCGATGGTAGAATGACCAGGGGCCGCAAGCTGAGGGGAAAATGACAAGGGCATCAATGGGGGAGGGGGATTGACTAGGGTAGCATAGGGGATGGTAGAATGAATAGGGGCAGCAAGCTCAAGGGAGAATGACAAGGGCATCAATGGGGGAGGGGGATTGACTAGGGTAGCATAGGGGATGGTAGAATGACCAGGGGCAGCAAGCTCAAGGGAGAATGACAAGGGCATCAATGGGGGAGGGGGATTGACTAGGGTAGCATAGGGGATGGTAGAATGACTAGGGGCAGCAAGCTCAAGGGAGAATGACAAGGGCATCAATGGGGGAGGGGGATTGACTAGGGTAGCATAGGGGATGGAAGAATGAATAGGGGCAGCAAGCTCAAGGGAGAATGACAAGGGCATCAATGGGGGAGGGGGATTGACTAGGGTAGCATAGGGGATGGTAGAATGACTAGGGGCAGCAAGCTCAAGGGAGAATGACAAGGGCATCAATGGGGGAAGGGGATTGACTAGGGTAGCATAGGGGATGGTAGAATGACCAGGGGCCGCAAGCTGAGGGGAAAATGACAAGGGCATCAATGGGGGAGGGGGATTGACTAGGGTAGCATAGGGGATGGTAGAATGAATAGGGGCAGCAAGCTCAAGGGAGAATGACAAGGGCATCAATGGGGGAAGGGGATTGACTAGGGTAGCATAAGGGATGGTAGAATGACCAGGGGCAGCAAGCTCAAGGGAGCATGACAAGGGCATCAATGGGGGAGGGGGATTGACTAGGGTAGCATAGGGGATGGTAGAATGACTAGGGGCAGCAAGCTCAAGGGAGAATGACAAGGGCATCAATGGGGGAGGGGGGTTGACTAGGGTAGCATAGGGGATGGTAGAATGAATAGGGGCAGCAAGCTCAAGGGTGAATGACAAGGGCATCAATGGGGGAGGGGGATTGACTAGGGTAGCATAGGGGATGGTAGAATGACCAGGGGCAGCAAGCTCAAGGGAGAATGACAAGGGCATCAATGGGGGAGGGGGATTGACTAGGGTAGCATAGGGGATGGTAGAATGACTAGGGGCAGCAAGCTCAAGGGAGAATGACAAGGGCATCAATGGGGGAGGGGGATTGACTAGGGTAGCATAGGGGATGGTAGAATGAATAGGGGCAGCAACCGGAGGGGAGAATGACAAGGGCATCAATGGGGGAGGGGGATTGACAAGGGTAGCATAGGGGTTGGTAGAATGACTAGGGGCAGCAAGCTCAAGGGAGAATGGCAAGGGCATCAATGGGGGAAGGGGATTGACTAGGGTAGCATAGGGGATGGTAGAATGACCAGGGGCCGCAAGCTGAGGGGAAAATGACAAGGGCATCAATGGGGGAGGGGGATTGACTAGGGTAGCATAGGGGATGGTGGAATGATGCGGGCAGCTAGCTCAAGGGAGAATGACAAGGGCATCAATGGGGTTGGGGGGCCTGATTAGGGTAGCATAGGGGATGGTAGAATGACTAGGGGCAGCAAGCTCAAGGGAGAATGACAAGGGCATCAATGGGGGAAGGGGATTGACTAGGGTAGCATAGGGGATGGTAGAATGACCAGGGGCAGCAAGCTGAGGGGAAAATGACAAGGGCATCAATGGGGGAGGGGGATTGACTAGGGTAGCATAGGGGATGGTGGAATGACCAGGGGCAGCTAGCTCAAGGGAGAATGACAAGGGCATCAATGGGGGTGGGGGGGCTGACTAGGGTAGCATAGGGGATGGTAGAATGACCAGGGCCAGCTAGCTCAAGGGAGAATGACAAGGGCATCAATGGGGGTGGGGGACCTGACTAGGGTAGCATAGGGGATGGTAGAATGACCAGGGGCAGCAATCCGGAGGGGAGAATGACAAGGGCATCAATGGGGGTGGGGGGCCTGACTAGGGTAGCATAGGGTGAGGAGAAAGACCGGGGTAGCAAGGAGGAAGGGATTCAAATAAACACACGGAGCAAGGGGGCTCGGAGAATGCTAAGGGTATGAAGGGGAAGGGTTTGTGACAGGGATAGCATGGGGGAAGGGGGAATGACAAGGGTAGCAAAGGGGATTGTAGAATGAATGGGGTAGGGTAGCAAGATCCAGGGAGAATATCAAGGGTAGCAAGGGGTGCGGTGCATGATAGGGGTAGCAGCGGGTGGAGGGAGAATGACAAGGGGTAGGGCAGCAAGAGGTATGGAGAACGCCAAGGGTAGCAAGAGGTGGGGGAGCATGACAAAGGTTGCAAGGAGCCGGGAGAAAGAGAGGGGGTAGCAAGGGGGGATCGGAGGAGGTCAACGGTATGAAGGGTGTCAGGCCCCTGACAGGGATAGCAGCGGGGACAGGAGAATGATGGAGGTGGCCAGGGGGATGGGATAACGACAAGTGTAGCAGGGGGGATGGTAGAAAGACAAAGGGAGAAGGGAGAAAGGGTGCGTGACAGGGGTAAGCAAGGGGGAAGGGTGAAAGATAGGGGTAGCAGTGGGTATATTAGAATGACAAGAGTAGACTGGAGAAAGGGGGAAGGAGAATGACACGTGTAGCAAGGGGGAAGGGACACTGATAGGGGCAGCAGGGGGAATGGATACTGACATGGGAGGCACGTGGCCAGGGAGGACAACAAAGGGTAGAAGAGTGAAGGGTGGATGACTTGGGTGCGAATGAAAAGGGTAGAAGGGGGATGGGTAGGTGTAGAGGGTAGCAGGGGGATGGGTGAATGACTAGGGTAGAAGGGGCTAGATGAGAATACCAAGGGGGAGAGAATGATAAGGGACACAGTGGGAATAGCGGATGTCAACGGGTAGCAATGGTGTGGGAGAATGACCGGGGTAGCAGGGGGGCGTGAGAATGACAAGGGAGGCAGGGGGATGGGTGTAATTCAAGGGTAGCAGCGGGATGCGTGAATGACAAGGGTAGCAGGGGGATGTGAGAATGACAAGGGTAGCACCGGGATGTGAGAGTGACAAGGGGGCGCACCGGGATGTGAGAGTGACAAGGGTAGCACCGGGATGTGAGAGTGACAAGGGTCGCAGGGGGGTGTGAGAATGACAAGGGTAGCAGGCGGATGTGAGAATGACAAGGGTAGCAAGGGGATGTGAGAATGACAAGGGCCTTGTAGTGTACAGCGAGACAGTAGGGGAGGTATGGGCCAGGTTGACGGAGCTCACCTTGCTCACAGTGGTGAACCGTTCCCCTGTTTACACCGTTCGAACGCAATCCCCGATCCCTGCTGTGAGCAAGGGGGTCATATGTGGAGGGAGAAGGGAAGAAGTAGGTGGGACGTGGGTGGAAACATGAGGCTGGGGGACGCCGCATTTCGAATGCGGCGGGTAGAACGTGTGGGGGCGATAAGAGGGCGAGTAGATCGTGTGGGGGCGTATGTGGCGGAAGGAGTGGGTGGGGGCGGATGCGGCGGGAAGAAAGGGTGGGGGCGGATCATGCGGGAAGCACGGGTGGGGGCGGATGCAGAGGAGGGAAACGTGGGGCCGGATGCGGAGGAGGGAAACGTGGGGGCGGATGCCGAGGAGGGAAACGTGGGGGCGGATGCAGACTCGGGAAGCGTGGGGGCGGATGCAGAGGACACAGTGACGAAATAAACGGGGCTGGCAAAGGCGATGGTCAATGATCGAGTGCACAGTGACGAAATAAACGGGGCATGTGTGCCTGGGCGCACTGGAGACGAGTGTGTGGCGTGGCGAATGAGAGTGTGCGAGTGTGCAGCATAGATGGTGTTTGCGCGAGTATGTTGTGGCGAGTGCGAACGATACGCCAGGAGCAGCGGCGAGTGCGTCGGACCGCGTGAGCAGTTGGCGCATTTCCTAATGCGAACTAGCAGTGAGAGAAGCCTCAATGTCGCCAAGGTTTCATGCTCGTGACGTTTGCGAGACTCGTCTATGCGACCTCGTGCAGCTATGGGATACGTGACCCTAAAGAAATGGGATGCGAAGCGCCGTCGCATTGGAGTATGCTAAGGCCGTACGTGGTCGTCCCGTGGCTATGAGAGTGTACCTGTGTCTCGTCTGTTGTAGAAAACCGCTGGCTTCTTGCGGTAATGTTGTTGTGTAAGGCGTAATTGTCGAAAGCCCTGTCCTTGTTATCGACTCGCGAAAACGTCCAGTGCGATTTGGTGACGGTAGCTCTTACTACGCGACTATTGTGTAGCTCTTAGATAGCGGGACTAATCCGGGCTGTTTTGGGACAGGTTTCTGTGGGCTAGGGCGTCATGTTTGTGGAGGTTGGTGTTGTGCGATTGTTTCGTGCGACGAGGGTGGCGGGGAAACGTCGTTTCTACAGTGCCTTTGGTTGGCGAATGTTGAGTTCGGGGCTTGTGTGCTGAACTTGTTGGCCCTAGGTGGGAACCCGGTTACACCCAACCAACCTTAGGAAGGTTGAACCAGTTTCCCGCTTCTTGACCCTCCGGTTTTAAAACTTCTTATACCACTAATAGAAACAACTAACACATTCGCTATAACCGCCTATGGGCTAAGTGTTAATGGGCATTCCGCTACGCCAAATAACACTCTCGTTTTGACCCAGTGGATAGCGAGGTGTTATATTGGAATGAGAGCCTAGGGTTAAGATCCTGGCTGATCCACATTTTCCGCCTATGGCAAGACTTGAATGTGGTTACCAGATTGAACCCAACGAAGTCGTTGCTTGGAGCACAGCGAGCAGGTCCCTGCGGGAGCCGACTCCCTGAAGTTGTCAACGGGGACGTTGACATCAGGGGGGGACGAGCGTGACGCCTCTGGACTAAGTGTTAATGGGCATTCCGCTGCGCCAAATAACACCCTCGTTTTGACCCAGTGGGAAGCGAGGTGTTATAGTCGCCTTGTCCTTAAACAACTTGAAATAGTAGGCTTGGGAGCCTCCTTAGGAGGCTAGCTTAGTAGGTACGAGCTAGGTCAAGGTAACAGCGCCGGTGGTCGAGAGCAATACTCGGCTCGGTGACCTCCCCGGAAGTCCTCATGTTGTACCCATTTGTACCCCTCGCTAGGCACGTGCCGGTGAGGGGGAAGCGGGAAAAGGAAAGGACGATTTTAGCACGTCCGATATTTTTATTTTCGTTTTTTTGTCCGAACAACGATTGAGCGGGTTGGAGGCCCCGTGGGGAGGCTTGCGAGGAAACGCCCCGTGCGCACCACCGTAGGGCGGTTGGAAGCTGCACACGGTTGCGGGGGTGGAGAGCAGAAAAGGGCAGCCGGGGGAGGGTGGGGTGTACGGGGGGCAGGGAAGTTGAGGGGGCAAGGGGAGGGGCAGCAACGGGCAGGGGCTGGGCCGGCTGAGGGCAAGGAAAAGGGGCGAGCAGAGCGTGAGCAGAGGGGCGAGCGATGCAAGGGAGGCACCATAGGGGGGAAATTAGTTGCACGGAGGTGGGAGGTGAGGGTGTACGAGGGGGTGGAACAAGGGCAGGGAGGGGCAGAACGAGAGGATGTGGTTGAGGGGTGTGGGGGGGGGGGGGGGAGGCAGAGAGAGAGAGAGAGAGAGAGAGAGAGAGAGAGAGAGAGGCAGAACGGGAGGATGTGGTTGAGGGGTGTGGGGGGGGGGGAGGGAAAGAGAGAGAGAGAGAGAGAGAGAGAGAGAGAGAGAGAGAGAGAGAGAGAGAGAGAGAGAGATAGAGAGAGACTAGGAACTTAGTCCTTAGCCTCCCACACCCCTCTAGTACCTCATACCCTAGTATAGCCTTAGTATAGCCAAATGTGGGCTCTGTTCCTTGCTTCTGCCCTTAGTGTACCCTAGTATGTGCCTTTTAAGGAGTACAGCACCCCACAAAAAGCCCTAGTGCCCTCTCCCATCTCATTAGTTCCTGGTAAGTTGGCTTCCTCCCAACCCAGCAGCTCGCGCTGGCCGCCTTCGGCGGCCGACGCTCGACAGCGCGGCCTTCGGCCGCGCGAGAGGGGTGGCAAGGACGCAAAGGGAAGAAGCACTATAATATGAAGAGGTACAGCACGGGGCACTAACAGCGGGGAACAAAACAAGCCCGGACGGCCAAGCATGGCTACGAGGGAAAAGGGGAAAGGGACGAAAGGGGGGGCCGCAAAACAGAACACCGCTACAACAGGTTCAGAAGGTAAATCCGCCAACGCAGCCACCGGAGCACTAACGCGAGCGCAGGCACGAGCCCAAGGGGCGCTTCTTCAGCTGCCGTGGCCACCCACCGGAAACACGTCGCGCCCGGGCCCTCATTCTCGGCGGGAGACTCACTCTTCAGCGGCAGGTGCAGGAGGGACCACAAGCACTGGGCGGCAGCAGCACGAACTACACATTGCTGCATCTCATCGAGCTGGGGATCACGCGCGGCAATGGGCCGGCTCTGCAGCCCAGCATGCAGCTGATTAAGCACGGTCGCTAGGAGAGCGAGGCACTCACCCACATCTAACAGGCGCCGCTCCCAACGGACAATATCAGCTACGATCGAAGTGTCTGCAGCCCACCGACCCATCGAAGACCCAGGCTCAACAGAGGCTGTCCAAGAATCCCGCTCCAACCACCACCCCTCTGGCGGGTCAAGAGCATCCCCCGGAAGACCAGGAGAAGGAGAGCGGTGGCGAAACCGCGGCACCTGGGGCAACACATGCGGAGGGAGAGGACGATGTCGCTGCGGTCCCTGGTCCCCAGCAGGGGCCGGGGGGGCGGCAGGAATGGGAGAGACCACGGGAGGGTCCACGCACGGCGCCGAGGGAGGAAGCTGAGACAGCGGCGGCACCGGAGGCTGGGGAACCGCCAAGGACGGCGTGAACGAGGACGGCAGGAGCGGGGACGCCAGAAGTGATGCCCACGTCGGCGACAGGTGTGGCGCTCGCGCCGAACCCAGACCCGATGACACAAACGGCGCCATCGACGGGGAGGGCAACGGGGGCGCCGACGCAGACGAGGGCTGCTGCAGCGACGAGGAGGCTTGGGTCGGCGGCGGATGAAACCGCGGAGGCGGCGGAGGCTGCACCAAAAGCTGCAAGTGAGGTGCCAGCTGCACCTGAGGCTGTGAGGCCTGGGCCAGAGGCCGCGAAGAATGCGAGGCAAGAGACTGTGACGGCCGGGGAGGGCGCCGGCGGCGGAAGGACTGGCCTCGGGCCCTTAGATAGGGATGGGTCAGCCCACGGGGAGAACGATAAATCGGCTCACGAGGCGTGGGTGGGACGACAGGCGCCTGGGAAGAACCGCCGCCCGCAGCGGCCGCAACAACATTAGCGGCGGCTCGGAGTAGGGCTGGCACCTGCCCGACCTGGGCCTCTGGTGGGGTGAACGCAGCAGGAGGACTCGCCCCAGGCAGTCGCCGGTGTGGAGGACAGCGCCGACCCGTCATCAACACACCGTCGCGAGAGAATGGCAGAAGCCGTGGAAGTGGAGGCGCTGGACGAGAGGGAGAGTGCGGCCGAGGACGCGGCGGAAGACGCGGCGGAGAGAAGAGCCGAGACGAGACAGAGCCGCCACCGAGGGGAAACAAGCCGTCAGCAGGCCCTGCGTGAGTAGGCCAACCAGCGTGCGGCAGGCCGACCGCCGCAAAACGCGGCGCCTGAAGCGGCAACAAGGGGAACGCGAAGGAGGGGCTGAGGCAGAGAAGGAGGCCTGGGGAACCTGGTGCGAGCAGTGGCGAGGGAAAAAGCAAGATCCGGGTACTGGAGGGAAAGACACGGAAGGCCAAAACGGCCTGACACGCGACAGAATGCTACCCCAATTAATGAAGGGGAGGAGGGTAGCGACAAAGAATATATCGAATCAGAGGAGGGAGACTCAGAAGATATCTCCCTAGAGGCAGAAGAAGGGGTCCCGAACACCGGCACAAACCAGGGGCAGAGGAGAGCGCGGAATGCACAACCCGCACAACCTGCACAGGAGGCCGAATCAAGCGATCACACTGGCACGAGGACAGCAAACAAAGAACGCTCAGCATCAGATATTGCAGATGACGAGGCCACGTGGCAGAGGGTGAAGGAGTGGGACCTGTCACCCCTACGCAACAGCACCCAACCTTTCCTGGTGCGAAAGCTTCCTCCCAACATTTTGGGAATCTTCAGCTACTGCCTCACAATCCCCCTGCTGCGACTTTCCAAGAAACCAACCTGCCTGGGAGCCAGGCGAATGTTGCTATTTCTGCCACAACTCACACTACGAGCCAACATTGGGAAAGTACCCGGAAACAAGTGGAGCGAGGTGGCGACGAGACTGGACCATTTCAAGCTGGAGAAGTGGGACCTCCTGTACTCCCAGGCCTGCACCATACCCCAGAACTCACAACCGAGCCGTCATTAGCCAGACCCTGAAGGAATCTGTGCGAGGGCTGAGGGACTGGTTCGTAAAGCGAATCTGGCAAAAGCGGTAGCAGCGTTACAAACATCGCCACTCGCAGAACCCTCACAGGAAACCCTGGAAGCACTAAAGGCGAAGCACCCAGAGGCGGGGAACGAAATCCCAAACTGGGCAACGGGATCTGCCGCAAGCAATCTGTCGACGTCAGCGGAAACCTTTCGTGAGGTGCTAGCGAAATGCCCCAACAAAATCGGGGCTGGACCTTGAGGGACATTCTTCGAGCATCTACGAGACACCGCTCTGACAAACGGCGAAGTATTCACATGAATGCACAGCGTCGTCAACTACATCCTAAGCACCCACTTGCCTGCGGATCTGACGAAACTCTTGCTACCGTCTAGGCTGATAGCCCTGGAGAAACCAGACGGAGGCGTCAGAACCATAGCTGTAGGAGAAGCGATACTACGACTCACAGCTAAGGCAGCGTTAAGGGAGTTGAGCGCGCCTATCCAAGAATACTTCTTACCGGTGCAATTCGGAGTAGCAGTAAATGGAGGAGCAACGTGTATTATCCACACGGTCCGGGATCTCTTAACTGAGGACCCAAAACGAGTGGCGCTGCAGCTAGATATCGAAAATGCCTTTAACTAGGTCGAACGGGCTGGTTTCTTCGAGTCACTGCATTTCTCGGGACTTAGCCGAATTATACCACTCGTTCGTACACTCTATTGCAGGCCCTCCCACCTGCTGCTGGATCAAGGCTTTGCGGCACCACACATTGACAGCGCACGCGGGGTCCGCCAGGGAGACCTGTTAGGACCAATGCTATTCGCAGCAGCCATCCAACCGGCACTCCAGGTGGCAGCCGACATGCTTCCGACTGTCACGATTATGGCCTACGCTGACGATATCACGATCGTGGAAACTGCACCCGAGGCCTCACTAGCACTAGGTATAATCACCAGACACCCAACCAGCCGCGGCCTTAAGTGCAACCTCACGAAGTCATCAGCATGGAGCCCATCAGGCATACGAGTGGAAGCGGTGGACGGCATCCGAGTCTTGGGGAGCCCAATTTGGACCAGGGATTACGGGAGGCGCATGATCACTACGTACCTGGAATCTGTGGCGACACCGCTAGACCTGATCGTCAGCATCCACCCACAACATGCGTTACTCCTGCTGTCACGCTGCATCTCACGGCGCATCTCGTACCTGCTCCGCACAACACCGGCGGATATGCTGCCATTAGAAGAGTGGCGGGACTGGAGTGAGGGATTGGTATGGACAGCACTAAGGGCGGCACACCTGCACGTGCCAAGAAAGGAAATCGAATAGAGCCTGGTGTGGAGGCAGGCGACCCTGCCGGTGTGCCTAGGCGGCCTGGGCCTGATAGATCCTGTCTCGGAGGCGCTGGCCCACTCCCTACTGAGCGGCATCCCCGAGCACCCAGACCACCTACTGAGGCAGGCTACACACCTTGTGTCACCGGAAAGCACTGCGGGGGCAGAACAGGGAGGGATGACCCTACGGGACCTCAAGAGCAAGCTGCCAGAGAGCGCACTAGAACTCCTGCACGAGCATCACCGTCAGAGGGGGGGGAAGGGGCGGCTGCAGCTAGGATTATCGAGTCATGTCAACCTGGACGGAGCAGCGGCACTGATAGGGGACACACGAATTGATAAGCCGGGAGTGGACAACAGGCATGTGGTGCGCCTCATAGCCCTGCAGGCGCCAGGGGCAGGAGACTGGCTACACGCCATACTCATGCGAGCGGACCTCACCTTCTCACCCGGGCAATTCGCCATAGCCCTCGGCTTCGGGCTTGGCCTCACTCTGGCAGTCACAGAGCACTGCCCCTGCCGCGGAAAATGCTCCAAGATAGCAGATCTAAGCCTGCCTAATCACCTACTGAGATGCGCGGATGGAGGGGACCGCACCAACACCCACAACGCGCTGGTGTATGCAGTGCTAGGCATGACACGTGAGGCAGATTTCAACACCTTGCACGAGACGACAGCCCTTTCGCCCCCTGTCAACCCTAAACGGGCGGACCTGGCCATCCATGACAAGGAGTCCGGTAAAACCTACGTCACAGACGTGACGGTGACCGACCCAGTGCTGCAAAGGCGGGACACCCGGGGCAGGAAAGCACCAGGATGGGCAGCTGAGGACGCGGCCAGGACTAAAAGGGGACCCTATGAAGAGCGCCCACAGTATGCAGGGGTCCTGAGATTAGCAATGGAGACCTATCCGACTAGCGAAGGACACTCAGAAGTTCTTCCGAATTCTGGGCACGAGCGCGGCCAAGAAGAAGCACCGCCAAGGGAGGCTCACCACGGTGGCCTCCAGGCTGACCGCGCACTACCGACAATGCTGGTCGGTAATGCTGCAACGCTGCCAAGCCAATGCCCTGTTGGCGAAGTCCAACAGGGCGGCAGAGGCGTGATACCCCCAGGCCTGGCCCGACCCTTGAAATAAGTAATGGCACAGGTTGACTCATCACATGCAAGGTTTGCTAGTGCTTAGGCAAGTCGATCGCCAGCACCACAAAGTCATCGACCTGCCAACGTAGCATCTCCGCGGCCCGCCAAAGCAGCTTGTGTGCGACTTGCCAACGCTGCACTCGCGCGGCTTGCCAACGCTGCATCCGCGAGGCGTGTTAACGATGCATTCGCAGGTGATTGTAAGCGCATGTGCAAGCGCCTACTCCACTGGTGCTCGTAGACAGTTATGCATGACGTGCACTGTCGCGCACATTGCGCAGGTTGTCACTCACATGCTGGCGGTTGCACCTGATGAGCCACGTCGACCACGTGCTGCCACGTCGGTCGACTTTGCCCTAGCAACCTCGACGACGTTCGCGACCCTCCGCAGAACCTCGTCGAGCAGGTAACTCTGTAGGTTGATGACCTTCGTCGTCGCGGGTCGACGACCTTCGTCGACCACCTTCGTCGACCACCTCGGTCGACATTCCAAAATGTCAGCTCCTCATTGGTCGAAGTTATGGCACACTCAAATTTCTGGCCTAAATTTGCCTGTGCATTCCCAACGGTGCGCAGGGTCAGACGCGGCCCTACGCAGATGAACAACCGCGAACCTCTGCACCAGCTGCGCCACTTGTACATATGCACAAGACGTCTGTATTGCACTCACGGATGCTTCAGTTACTCTTGCACGGATGCTAATACACCTCGTGTACAGGCAACCCTTGTACACCTGAAGAAGGTCGGCTGCACCTCCCGCACACCCGACCACGAAGTCAGTTTTGCCCATGCAAGGGCGGGGCCAACTTCCTTCAACACTCCCCTGCCGCGCTCACGCTTGGGCACCCTACGCACAAGAACCCAAGGGATTGTATACACGGGGAAAATCCTTCGGCGTGCACACAACACACAGCACGCCGGTCACCGCACCAGCCGTGCCGAAGGGCACGGCACCTACTGCTGCACATCATCGTCACCGCCGCCGACGTCAGCCAAACGAACTTGGCCGATCGCGACGGAGCACTGGTTGAAGGTTGGAAATTGCAGCCCCTGTGAATGTAGAACTGAACGAGAATGTGTGAAACTAGGCAGCAGGGTGATACAAGTAGGAAACCCTAGCAATGTTGTACCCCCTAAGGCTAAACCCACTATAGCCTACACAATATGAACATGTATAATGTTTGACACACCCCCATAGGCTAAGTGGGAGACAACCAGATGGTCACAAGACCAGTCAAAGCAAAACAAAGCAAGCTCAGGGTGGATCTCAAGGAAACCACACAAATTCCGAGCACAAGCAAGTGGTCACAAGACCAGTTCACATGCAGTTTGATAATAAAACAAGAGGTACAGTGATCACAACCTAACAAGAGTAAACATGCAGGTATATGTATATAGAGATCACAGTACAAGCAGAGTCAAGAAGTGAGCAAGTGAGGGAGAGTAGGCACAAGGCCTAGAACAGTACAGAAACGCTGATGGTCACAAGGCTGAAGCGCCTTGGTGAACACATCAGCAGTGTTGGCCCGAGTGGCCACGTAACGCAGACGAAGCTGACCACGCTGCTGCA